CAGTTTATGGCAGCCTCAAAAAGTGGATCGACTGTGAATGCCATCATGCGTAAGGACAAGGAAACCAAGTCGCCCGCCCCACTGATCCACTAGAACCAGCGCCTTGTAAGTCAGGATTTTTGCACCGTTCAAATGTTTTCGAAGTTCACAGTGCAAATGCAGGTCAAATCATTTCAGCGTCACCTCTTTACAAGAGTAAATTACATGGAATTCCCCTACTCTTGCAGTTTCCAGCGCGGCTCCTCGCGCTTTCCTACGCGTTCAATTCATTGTCCCGGCGAGTGTCTGACGGGGTGTAACACCCGCCAAGCCACTGCTGCGCTCGTGAAACAACGAAGTAGGAATAGACGAATTGTGACAGAAAATTTTGAAGTCCTCACTACACTAACAGCTCACAACCGCAACAGCAGAGCATGATGGAACACAAACACGTAGCCAGCCCTTGACTGCCTGATCCCCAACTGGACTCCATAGCACCATGTTTTTCATTTCACCCGTCGAGCATTTCCAGAACCTTCCGGTTTGTTCCCACCGCTTCAATGGCCATTCAACAGAGAAAGAACTCAGATACACGTACAGTACCAGTGGTAACTGTCTGTTTAGCCCCTCAAATACGATTTTCTTTCCTCGCATCGATTCCTCGAGTATGCCACACCTGGAACACAGCAGCACAGTATCAGAACATGGGTCACAGCTTGTATCAGGCAGGTGCCCCAAAACAAGATCAGACTGGGGCTTGCACAGCGTTCAAGTGGGATTCCTCCAACTCTCCACTCGTCATGCAGGTCATGCAACACACTGCATGCTCAATTGAATACTGATTTAAATTAAGCTGGTTAAACTATCTAGCTGGAACAAGTGTGCTCCTCATGTAACCAGCATCTGTTGCGGACGCCAGATTGAGACCAAACCACTCAAGTTTGCGACGAACATTACATGCCCGGAATTTCGGTTCAGTAGCGGAAGTTGAAAACAAAAATACTGGCTTCATACCGAACTAGTTTCCCACATCTCGTAAACAGAACCTCTAATGTACGAAACCTTTCCCTCGCATATGGTTTTTTTGTGGACAGACTGGAGTGGAGAGTGGTGCAGGATGATCTGTGTGATGGGGTGTCTGCTTTACGTATCGGCTTATCGAATCAGCAAGTTTCACTTGCCTAGCTACAGTGGAAAAGACAGACTGTCTAGCCACCCAGTGGCGGAGTAGTTTTGTATATCACATGCTGCTATTGAATGTGTGGACAGGCTATAATTTTAATTTCGCGTTTATCCTTCCGCCAGCTGTCAAGGGGAGAAAGCCCTTTCGCAGCGATCGAGTGGGTGGGTGGGCCCGTGTAATACGGTTATGTGCAAGGTGCCGCGGACAGTCTGTATTTTGTACACGTACCACGTAAAGGTGGGGACAACAAGTTTCGGCTCAGCTGCTGGGCGGCTCGGCGGCTCGGCTGCTCGCTAGGGGCGGCGACGGGGCCGGGTAGGGGCAGCGACGGGGCCGCTAGGGGCGGGGAGCGGCGACGGGGCCGCTAGGGGCGGCGACGGGGCCGCGTAGGGGCGGCTACGAGGCCGCGTAGGGGCGGCGACGGGGCCGCATAGGGAGGGAAGCGGCGACGGGGCCGCTAGGGGCGGCGACGGGGCCGCGTAGGGGCGGTTACGAGGCCGCGTAGGGGCGGCGACGGGGCCGCGTAGGGAGGGAGGCGGCGACGGGGCCGCTAGGGGCGGCGACGGGGCCGCGTAGGGAGGGAGGAGGCGACGGGGCCGTTAGGGGCGGCGACGGGGCCGCGTAGGGGCGGCGACGGGGCCGCTAGGGGCGGCGACGGGGCCGCGTAGGGGCGGCGACGGGGCCGCGTAGGGAGGGGAGCGGCGACGGGGCCGCTAGGGGCGGCGACGGGGCCGCGTAAGGGCGGCGACGGGGCCGCGTAGGGGCGGCTACGGGGCCGCGTAGGGAGGGGAGCGGCGACGGGGCCGCTAGGGGCGGCGACGGGGCCGCTAGGGGCGGCAACGGGGCCGCGTAGGGGCGGCGACGGGGCCGCGTAGGGAGGGGAGCGGCTACGGGGCCGCTAGGGGCGGCGACGGGGCCGCGTAGGGGCGGCGACGGGGCCGCGTAGGGGCGGCAACGGGGCCGCGTAGGGAGGGAGGCGGCAACGGGGCCGCTAAGGGTGGCGACAGGGCCGCTAGGGGCGGCTACGAGGCCGCGTAGGGGCGGCAATGGGGCCGCTAGGGGCCGCAAGGGGCCTGGAAGGGCGGCAACGGGGCCGCTAGGGGCGGCGACGGGGCCGCTAAGGGTGGCGCGAGGGGCCGTGAGAGGGGCCTCTAAGAGAGCTCGACAGAAGGGCGGCCCACAAGGCGCGCCTCGGGCAGGAGCGACTGTCGCTCTGGTCAGAAAAAAAAAAAAAAAAAAAAAAAGGTTTCAGTGGTGGGCCCAAGGAAGCGTTCCCACTAGGGAACCTGCTCTATACCATGTGAAGAAATGAGGAATGGATTGACTAAGGGAAAGTTGGGTACAAAAGCAAACCCTAGAAAACTGTACCCCATATGTGCTACCCCACTATAGCCTACAGTAGTTATGTCATATAAATCTGACAGGTGCGACGTGCACCGTCACGTTCACGTAGCATGTGCCAAGTCGGTCACGTGCCGTTGTCTACGCCTGATGAGCCACGTCGACCCTAGGATACCACTCCGATGTTGGCTTCGCGCACCCCGCAGAACCTCGTCGCCCTGGTAACTTGGTCGACCAGGAAACCACCAAGTCGGCGTCGACTTTTGCGGCCGAAACTGACCAATTGCTGTACGTGCTCGTCGGCCACCCAGGTCGACTGCCACCCGCCGACTTCACCAAGTCGGCCACTACGCAGGTCGACTAACTCCAAGACGACCATACCAGCTCTCTGCCGACTTCACCAAGTCGACCTCCCAAGGTCGGCGCCCCTCCCAGGTCGACGGGTCATTTCGTCGACCACCGGTAGAAGTCGGCCGCCGGCTTCCCGTCGTCAACGGATTCGTAGTTGCCCCATGCAGATCGACCAAGTCCGTCGACATGCTCGCCCAAGTCGACGTCGCCCACTGCAGACGGTCAGCTGCATCTCTCGCACACCCGACCACGAAGTCGGCTCTGCCCAAGCGAGAATGGGGGCTACTCCTATTAACACAATTTTGACCAGTAACAAGGGCCACAGTCCGCACCACCCGGCATGAGCGTGTACTGTTGCCGTCAGTTGCCGACGAACAGATGTGAAGTGGCATAAGAGTTCGTGCTACACAACTACAACATTAACTTCAGGGGGAGAAGCCCGTTGGGGATGCAAAAAAGGTTATGAATATCTTAGGGGAGTCAAAGTGGGGGACCTGTATCACATGGAGACAGACGGGTCATGTGGTGAGAAGAGCATGCGCCAACTTGAAAGTGACGTGGGAGGCTTGCCAACAGCCAGATGGGCCCTTAAAGTTTTGAATGTAACCCCACAGACTTGAACAGACTTTCTGAAGCAAAAGGTCAGGGCAGGTGAAAGACTTGGGAGAACAACCGTTAATTATGTCATAACCTAATCCCGGGAGGCATAGCGTCGGCGAATAAAAAGTCAGTCCTCTAGAGTTATAAGTTGTTTTGTAGTATTCAGGAAGGAGGACTACAGTTGATAAATTTAATAGGGGTTAAACAGTATGTTAATTGAGAACTTTGAGAAATTATGGTTGAAAACACTCAACAAAGCGTGACTACAATGGATGAAGATTAATGAATGACTAGAACGAGGCCATAGAGTTGGATATGTACCAAACTGTACACTCTACAGAGTACCCCACGTAACCGGTAACGTGCACATGTAAAAGAGTATAAAGGTAAATTTACAGGAGAAATTGTATTTCACAAAACAATCCAATTTCAAACAAAAGCTCCACACAGAGGAGAAAGATTACTTTGTGCATGACACATCTCGGAATTGTGAGAGAAACGTTATCATTTCATAGACAGAGCAGGACAAGATGCAATTCATTCAAGCGTGGGACGAACACGAAATGCACGCACCGAATATTGGATAACGAGATTAGAGGTGTGATGTCATATGTTGATTTCAGAGAGATATAGGGAGGGAGGGAGGGAGGGAGGGAGGGAGGGAGGGAGGGAGGGAGGGAGGGAGGGAGGGAGGGAGGGAGGGAGGGAGGGAGGGAGAGAGGGAGGGAGGGAGGGAGGGAGGGAGGGAGGGAGAGAGAGAGAGAGAGAGAGAGAGAGAGAGAGAGAGAGAGAGATAGAGGGAGAGGGAGAGGGAGAGAGTGTGCGTGTGTGTGTGTTTTCCATTCAATCACATGGATTCATACGAAATTGGGTTGGCTAGCTCACACTTACTGTTTCGAATTGTATATTTGAAGTCTGTAACAACAGTCTTGGAGTGCATAAGAACATTGACCGCTTCGAGCGCACGTTCCTGCACTTTCAAGGAGGCAAGGCAATTGCTCTGGTGGGTACACACACGATGGGGAGCGAGCGACTCGCCTTCCATACCAAATCACTCCCCTACCCTAGGCTCCCCCTGCCCCTTGAACGATGGAACACGCATGCGCACACGCCGGAGTAACCACACAGCGCGCCCCTGTGAGCTCACCACCACCCGCCGTGCGCCACCCAACCACCACACCAGCGGGGACTCACTACTTCCGTAGTCCGCATTCCGCAGCCACTTGCGCCACTCTTCCCCCACTCACCAGGCCCACCGACACTCCCAAAAATCACTCGTGTGTCGCTCTGCCTGCGCCTCTCCCCTCACTGTGCGCAGATTAGGGTTCCTGTGTCACCCACTCAGCCACCACTTACCACTCCAGAAGCCTTTTGAAGCAATTAGTTGCTGCTGTCACCTGCCCATGTCGGACCTGAGAGCTCCCGTCTCATGATCTATCAATTTGCCTGGCTGATCTGGAAAGTTAGGGTATGGGAGATGATTTTGGTGCCTGTCGCATGTTGTAAGACTCGTGATTGTCGGTAGATTTAACGGCTCGTTGTGACCATGTCTCGACAAGGCGAAGGGAAAATCGGTGTAGGGGTGCGTGCTACGGAGTCGGTATCAGGCCAGGGTGGCGCGGCGAACGATGCGAAGAAGGGTCTGAGTGGAAGTGGGATTGGGGGCGGAGGGAAAAGCGCGACAGGTCATTCTGCTGTGACAATTAATCGAGTGAAGGGCGGTTCGAACGACGGCGATGATGACGACACGGAAGAGGAAGAAGAGGAGGAGGAGGAAGAGGAGGAGGAAGAGGAGGAGGAAGAGGAAGAGGAGGAGGAGGAAGAAGAAGAAGAGGAGGAGGAAGAGGAAGAGGAGGAAGAAGAAGAGGAGGAAGAAGAAGAAGAGGAGGAGGAGGAAGAGGAGGAAGAGGAGGAGGAAGAGGAGGAAGAGGAGGAAGAAAAAGAGGAGGAAACGAAAGCGAAGGTTTTCAGAGCGCAATCAAACATCAAGAGAACAATGGGGGGCATCGGGGGAAGGTCTATGATTGTAAAGCGGGAGCCGTTCCGCGAGCGGGTAAGCTCTGTCAGCGGCGCTGCCAGCGAGCCGACCTCCCCCAGTGGTGCGCAGGGAACAGCGGGGAAGCGGAAAGAGGGCGCTAAAGAGCGCAAACGGAGCAAGCGTAGGCGGCAGGGAGTGGACGCCTGGCAGCTCGCGTATTTCGCGGCAGTTGCGCGGCGCCAGGCCGTGTCGCTGCGGGAGGAGTCGGAGCGGGTGTGGGTGGAAGCGGATCGCGTGCTGCGGCAAACCAGGCGGCTCGGCGAAACCGCGGCGGCGGCTTTGGATGCGACGGCAGCCGCCATAGACGGGATGGCGCAGGTTGGTCGAGACGGCGGCGGGGAAAAGGGCGCAACGGGAAGCTTGCGGAACAGAAGCGGGAAGGGCGCAAACGGCAGTGGTGCGCGCCCGGGGGGCAATGACGGCGGGCTGAGCCTTCTGGGCGGATCGGCGTTCCGCGTGACGCGCATGGTGACGAAGAGCCGTGGGGAGCGGGAGAGGTTCGCGGAAAGCGATACCAGCAGCAGCAGCAGCGACTCCGATAGCGATGCGCTTCCCCCGCTAAAACTCCCCGACTCCGGGGATGACGGCGGAGGCGGGGACGCGCCAGCCGGCGGAGTCAAGCGACTGGGGCTCGGCGCGCTTGCAAAATCCGTGATGAAGCTGCACGGGGTCAAGGGGCGCAGGTCGTTGGTGGCGGAGAGGGGGGCGGAAGGGGGGGGCGCGTCTGTAGTGCGGAAGGGGAGTGGAGTCGAGGCGGTGAGCAGCGGGGGGAGTCGGAAGAGTGCGAAGGCGGATAGGGAGAGCGAGCAAGAGGAGCAAGAAGAAGAAGAGGAAGAGGAAGAAGAGGAGGAAGAGGAGGAGGAAAGAAAGGAGGGTGGTGGCGAAGGGAAGGAGGAGAGTAATGCACTATGGGACGAGGAGGAAGTGATAGCAGCGATTTTGGCGGCAGCTACGGCGTCGGACCGCGGGCTAGACGAGGGGCTCGCGCTCTGGGACGTGGATTCCGCCTCGAGTGGCGGCGCGAAGACCGCCAAGAAGCGCTTTAAGCGCGCCGCGATGCTCTCGATGTTCGCGTCCACATTCGTGCGCGCGGTGGGCTCGCGCGGCGTCGATGTCGCGAACACTCCGCTTGCTGTCGCCACGCCTGCGGCCGGCGCGCGCGGGCTGTGGGGCCGCGCGGTAGGCACAGTGTCGACGGGGGGGTTCGCCGCCGCAACCCCTTCCGCCGTTCCTTCCGGTACCCTTTCCCGATTTTCCTCCGCCGATTCCGCGGGACCTCCGCAAAGTAATAACGGGCAAGGGGCTGCGCGCGACTTGTGGGGCCGCGCAGTCGGCGCGGTGAAAGCGCAAGATTTCGCCGCGCCTACGCCCGGTCCTTCACAACCAGGCGGAGCGCGCGAGTTATGGGGCCGTGCGTTCGGCGCCGCGACAAATCTGGAGCCTCCACCGCCGCTGCTCATACCTCCGCGGGGCCTTTCCCCCGCGGAGCTCGCCGCGGTCGCGGCTGCGGGTACACCGCTTCCGCCCCCAAGCCATGCAGCGGGGGGCAATGCGCGCGCCTTGTGGGGCCGCGCGCTGGGTGTGGTGACCGAGCAGGGTTTTCCGCTCCAAACGCCGGCCGCGTCCAGTTCCGCGGGGCCATCTGCGGCGGAAGCAGGCCCGCGCGCGCTATGGGGCCGCGCGGTGGCCGCAGCGACGGGGAATGAGCCGCGGGACGAGGGGGCGCGCGGAGGGTGGAGTGAGCGGAAGCAGCGGGCGCGCGGGCGGCGGTCGTCGTTACCGTCAGAAGAGGAGCTGGGCAAGATCGCGGATATGGCGTGCGCGGTGCAGGAGGAGACACGTCAGCAGCTCGAGTCCGCGCAGCGCCTTAACATGTTCCTGGCGCATGAAAGCGCACTGGCGCAAGGGCACGTGTACGGATATGGCGGGTATCCGCACGCATACCCGCACGCGCACGCGCACCAGTCCCCGCTCCTTTCCTCATTCGCGCATTCTGGCTCCTTTTCCGCCTTCCCCATGCACGCCGCGGACAAATCCTCCTTTTCCGCGGCCACCCCAAACGCCAAAAGCTCTTCCCCCGCCGGTTTACCGGCGCACTTGCAGCAGCAGCAGACAGGGGGAGCTTCCCCGGGGGGACGCCCGCTGGAGCGCGCGTGGGGCATGAAGAACGCGGATCAGGCGGTGGGGGGAAGGATGGCTGGCGCGCGCGGGGAGAATGGGGGAAGGGGGAATGGTGTATGGGGAGCGGATGCACAGATGGCAAGGAGAGAGGGGCGCGGGAAGGGCAGCGGGCGCAGTGAGAACAGAGGAGGGGCAGGGGACAGCATGGGGGACACGGATGAGGAGCAGGAGGAGCTGGAGAGGGAGTGGAAGAGAGAGAGGGAGAGGGGGAGGGAGAAGGACTCAGGAGTAGGGGAGAGAGGGAGCGAAGGGTCCCGGAGGTCTCAGAAGCACGCGCGCAGGGGCAGAGGGGGAGGGCATGGCAGCGGCAGCGGCAGTGACAGCGGCAGCGACGGGGGGGAATCAACAGGGCGGTCGGGCGAGCGGGAGTATGGCATGGGGGGGGAAAGGGAGGAGAGCCCCCGGGGGAAAACGGCAGCGCGGAGGCGGAGTGGGTCTGCAGCGAGCGGGGTGCGGATGGTGCTTGCTGTGAAGCAGATGGTGGGGAGGGAGGGCGGCGGCGGGGGGAAGGAATCGGAATCAGAGTATGATACAGAGGCGGAGGAGCACAAGGCGCAGAAGGAGAAGGAGCGCGAGTGGCTGCAGGAGAAGAGCCGCGAGGTGGAGGCAGCAGGGGATACGGAGGGGGAGGAGAAGGAGAGAGCGAGGGAGAGGGCGCGGCAGCTGGTGCGGCGGCCAGAGCTGAAGCGCAGCTCGTGGAAGGACTACGAAGGGCACGCGCAGGGGAGGGACGGGGGCAGCTGGGAGGACGCTGCACAGGGTTTTGCAGAGAAAGGGGATGATCGTGGGGGAGGAGAGGGGGTGAGAGACAACATGTTACTGGACAGTATGACTCTGAACGCCCCACCAGCATCCAAAGACCCAAAGCACCCACGCGCTCCCAACGCCCTCGTCCAACCCACGGGTTCCGCTCCCCCTTCTTCCTCCAACCCCCCTCCTGCACCACCGGTCAAGCCTGGCATGATAGGCAAGCCGGGGTTGGGCGCTCCATTGGCGTCCGCTAGTGGGGGAGGCTTGCTCAACTCGCATAGCTCAGGTGACTGGTCCTCCACTCTCCCTGATGGTGCTGCTGGTTCTGGCCTTGCCAGTGGCAAGAGCAGTGGTATTGCAGCTGCAGGTGCCAGTGCCGTCTCCTCCTCTGCCACGTCAGCCGGAGCCACGTCAGCAGGGACCATGCCACCCCTGCGCAGGTCGCAGACGGCAGGAGGGCAGGAGGTGGGGCGGTACGTGGGAGGAGGGGCGAGAGGAGGAGCAGGGGCAGGCGCAGGAGGGGCAAATACAGGGGGAGGCGCAGCAGCATCGGCATCATCATCAGCAGCAGCAGGGGGTGGTGGTGGTGGTGGCACATCTGGCAAACCCCCCCTGGCATGGGCACCCCAGGGCCCTCGCAATCTATCAAGAGCCATGTCCCTGGGCCGCCATGCCATGCCCCAAGCCACCTTCCGCCCCCGCCTTCCCCCCGGGCTCGTCCTGGGGGGAGGGGGAAGCAAGAGCGTGGATGGGGGAGTGGGGAAGGAGGAGGGTGGAGGGCGAGGGGGAGGGAAGAATAACATAGAGGATCATGGGTCTGACAGTGACGGGAGCAGCCGTAACAGGAACAGTTACAAGAACAGTAACAGTGTCATGAACAGTAGCTCAGGGCAGGCGGGTAGTCCAGGAGTGTCAGAGTCAGGTGGTGGTTTCCACCAGGAGGGCCTGTCCCACTCCATGTCCCTGCACCTGCCCCCTCGCTCCCACTCATATGGGGTGCCTAGGATCGCCCCCCGGGGAATGGCAGCAGGAGGGGCAGCAGCGGGTGGTGCAGGAGGAGGGGGTGTGCAGCGGCAGGTGGGGCATGGAGAGGGGTCGTTGGAGGAGGGTGACGATGGCGGGCTGGCCATGGTGAGAGGAGGAAGCGAGAGGCCGAGAGCAAGCGGAGGGGTGGCTGGGATGGAGGGTGGAGACGACTCAGTGCAGCTGGTGCGGAGCATGAGTGTGGATCCACGAGGTAAGGCTGGTGGTAAGGGCGGAGCGGGGGAGGGAGGCCATGGCAGTGGGCGAATGGCACTTCCGGAAGTAGATGCGAGCAACTTCACCAAGACTCACTCGTTCCACATGGCTCCATCTAGAAATGCAAGCACGCAGGGGGCAAGAGGCAAGCCAGGGGGTTCTGCAAGGTGAGGGGACGTGCACAGCACAGGTGGTGGACTTCCGAGGGCGGGTAGATATATGCATGCGTGCCATGCGTGTTAGCTAGTGCTGACCTAACTGGTGTCGAGCTTCTTGCTAGGTCCTAACTTGTGTAGGTTGAGCTTCTGAGGTCTGTTTCTAATTTATTATGTACTCTCAGCTTGCCATTCTGCTTAGCTACTCTGAGTGGCATTTTTTTTGCCCCTTTTATGGCCATGTGAAGTTGCTTATTGTCACTCTTTAAAAACCTATTGTTTCAAAAGGCACCTTCAGCGTTATGATGGTGTACCAAGCGGTGAACTAGTGATAAGATTCGAGGGACGTGGAACGCGGCTCCCGAAGTCAACCACTTCCGTCGCAGCGAGAAGCACGCAAAGTGCGTGTCTCTTGGCGCCACCCGTGCATTTTTCGAGGAGGCTTGAACCCAGCTCCCACCTTGCGAGTTCGCGACATCGCCAACGCGCCGTGTTACCACGTCGGCCGGTCGTGGGAACTGCTGGTGTCAGCCCGTTCTCTGTCAAGAATCAGCCCTGAATCCGTTGAGCGAGGAATCCATGCGATCCGAAGCGCGTCAAGTGAGGTTTCACACCCCACACCCCCAGCCCAAGAGTTGCCCGAAGCCCATTGACGAGCCGCTATACTGTCCACGTGGCAGCATTCAACAAGATGCTAACCTCGAGGGGCCGGCCAAGGCGAAAAAGGGAGGGCGACGCCAGATCGATTCCGTCAAAAAAAGACACCTGAGAATCGTGGCTCTCATAATCTCATTCCCCTTTTACATCAAGCAGCAGTCTCCGGCGGAATTTCCAAGAGGAACTCGTTGCTGCCGCAAGAGAGACAGACACTCTCGCAAGTGCAAACACTAGCGGAACCTAAAGGAATCTCAGCAACCGGAAGGCTTGGCTGACGCGGAATGTTTTACGAGTCTGTGAATAGGGAAACCATTAGTGCTAGTGATTGAGTTTCCCTCTGGTCTGGATGCGTGTGGAACGCCAGATTTTTCGTGGAATGTGGATATCGCGCAGTATGTATACCTGACGCAGCAAGACCTAGTATAGCACTTAGAAATATTGTCAGTCGTGTTGGATCTTAGTTCCCACGGAACAAACAAGCAAGGAAGGATGTTCAAAGGCCTGCGTTCTCGCACTAAGGAGAAATTCGAGTTCCGGCTTCGCTTCCATGCCACACGCGTACGCTCCCATTCCGTCCTACTATCTCATTCCCTTAACCCGTGTCGCAGATTCCTCTCTTCCTTAAAATCCTGAATAACCTACGCGCATCGTCATTGAACCGTCTACATAGTACCTTGTTCCTGCATTTCCATCTTCTCATCGTCCTCCCACCTCCCCCTCTCCCCCGTGCAGCTACCGCCGCTAGGCCATGAGAGCCTCCACGTGTCGCTCTATCAGGACACGGGGCGTCTTCAGAGCCAGACGAGCCGCGTCGGCGTGAAGAACGGCGCGTGTCAGTGGGCGGACACGCTGACGGAGGTGGTGAAGCTCACGCGCGCCAAGGGCAGCAAGGCGTTCGACGACAAACACTACCGCCTTGTCGTTGCCTCGGTCCGTCTCTCCCACTCGCCCTCGCATTCCTCTCATATCGCACTCCCCTCAGCCTCCCACTTCCCTTGTTTTAGTGTTAGCGTCCAATACACTCAAGGTAGGATTCTACGTATGTTGCTGCTTTCCCATTCAATCACACTCTCGATGCTCGAATCCCGCTCAGACTCACGTCCTATCTTTACCGCCCTCTCTCGCCGGCTTTCTTCCTCCTGTCTCCCCAGGGTCCCTCCAAAGCGTCCATTCTTGGCGAGGCGTCGCTGAACCTCGCGGATTTCGCCGCCTTTTCGCAGCTGGACCAGCGATCATTGCCGTTGCGCTGCTGCGACGCGGGATCCGTGCTGCATGTACGTCGGCTCCCAAAATCCTTGTGGAAACGGTCGTGCGCGGTACAAGGCGCGCAACACATCGCCACACGCGCTTCTTTTATTTTCCATGTGTTCTCTTTCTCTTCGTCTATTTCTCCTCTTTCTCCTCCAAGCTATATCCTTCTCTAACTGCCGCCTGAGCCGCTCGTGTGGCATCCACGTTTGCGCGTGTGCCATGGTCGTGCAGGTGACAGTGCACTCCATCCCTCTCGAGACCCGGCACACGCCCAACTCCCACTCCGAGTGAGCCCCCTCTCCCCCCCTCCCCCCCCCCCCCCCACCCCCCCACCTTCCCACGCTTCCGCGCGCGTTCTTTTTCTCCCACTCCTCTCTCGACCGTTCATAATTTCCAACTCGTTCTGCCGATTCGAGTCGGACCACGACAGACCAATTACCCGCGCGTAATCGCAAGGGTTCTGTGCCCACCTTGCCTGTCACTGAATGCACGAGTCCTAACTGTAATCCTCCCCCTCGCCGCCTTCTTCCCGCAGCGACGAATCCGAGTCGGTCGACGGTGCGGCACCGCGCTCGCCGCTCTCCCTATCCTTCACGCGGCACCGGCCGTACGACACGGAGAGCGACGACGAGCGCGGGGACGAGCGCGACAGTAGGGGCGCGGCGGACGAGGAGAGCGAGGCGGAGGAGCGCATGTACGCAGCGGCGGGTGCCGGGGGAGGGCGGTCGCGGTCGGCGCGGTACAGCAGCAGTGCGGCGTCGGAGCCCGCGGACTCTCTGCCCGGCACTCCCCTCGCCAAGCCCGCCGTGGCGACCGCTGCTCCGCTTGCCAAGGTACGCTGGGCGCAGCTGGGGTTGCGCGGGAGCAACGTCCGTAAGAGGTCAATAAGAAACCGGCTTGTGTGCCGCTACATAGAAGTTGGTTTCCGAGAATTCTCACAAGTGTCTCATGTATGAAGGGGTAATGGGGCAAGTGGTGAACAGTGTAGTCCGGCTCATGCCGTCGCCAACCTACTCTCTGCTTCTGCCGGGGTGGTGGGGGTGGGTGTGTTTGCGCCCCATACGGCTAGTCTCGGCTGGAGTCCCGTTCGCCACAATTGCCGGTTGCCTCCTCCTCCACTTTAACTAGCTCCTCTCTTCCGCTCCCTCCGTTTCTTTTCTCTTCGCTCTCTCTCCTTGTCTCACCTCCGCTGCCGCCGTCCAGTTGCAGCTCTTCACAGGCTCGGCGCGCTCCTTGACCGCGCCATCCACGCCTCCTCGCTCGCTACACTCCCCGCGAACCCCGCCAACTCTCGCGCAGGTATCCCTTCCGCGCCACGTTGCCCTCCTAACCGCAGCTTGTTGACTCCCCACGTTCAATTCCACATTGCGCACGCGCCACCTGTCCCGCTGCATACTCCCCCCGTCGTTCCCAACACCACGTTTATCGAATCTCGCCTTCCGCAACCTCCCCTTATCCTCCGCACTCGCAGGTATCTTCTGGCCCTTCCGCGCCTGATTTTTCTCTCTCCCCGCCGCCCGCCCTCCGCGCGCACCATCTGCCTCCGCGCAAGGACGACTCCGATTACGCGCGGAACAGCGACCGCGAGTTCAGTGATGCGCCATCAGCCCTCCCGCCGCCGGCAGGCGCAATGCGCAGCCTCAGCAGCCCTCGCGCCTCGCCACTTCATTCTTCGGCGTCTGACGTGTCTCTGCCTCTCGACCCCCCGCCGTTCCTTCATCCCACCCGCGCCTCGTCCCGCCCAAGCTCCCCCTTGCGCGCAGCAGGCAATGCGCGCATGAGCGGAGCCGGCGGACTCGGCTGGCGGGGAGAGGGTGTGGGCGTGGGCGGAGTTGCTGAAAGCGTGGGGGGCGGGAGTGTAAGTGGAAGCAGCAGCGCGGGGGGATGGAGCATAGCGCGCGGAAGCAGCACGAGCGCGTCCATAAGCCGCAGCAGCAGCTGCGCAAGCAGCCACGGCGGGTGGTCCGCCATCGGCTCGTTCCGCGGAGCGCAATCGCCCGTCAGTCGGAGAACCCTGCTGCTGGATCTTCAGCAGCAGCAGCAGCAGGCGGGGGGCATGGGATCAGAGGTGAAAACGACACTGGCGCAAGCGGAGCGGAAAGTGGGCGCAAGTGGCCAGGATGCTCCCGCGCAACCTCCTGCGCGGGTGCTGGTGGCGCAGGATAGGGCGCGGGCGAGTGGCTACGGTCAAGCGGAGTCCGCGGGTAGATCGGCGGGCAGTTCCGCCACGCACGCGGGGGAAGCGGATGAGCTGCGGGGAGCAGAGGCCAGAGCACGAATCAGCAGGAGCAGAAGCGTGAGCGGGGGGGGTGAAGGGGGAAACGACGCGCTGGTGGCAGCGGAGGGCGCGGCTGCGCGTGATGCGGAGGAATCGCGCGTTCCGGGGTGGCAGGTGGAGCGGCTGCGGGCGCAGGTTGCGCGCGCAAGGGCGCAGCAGACGAAGGTGGAAGAGGAGCGCGACCGACTGGCGGAAGAGTTGCGCCGGGCGCAGAGCGCAGGCGAAAGCGGAGGAGCTGGAAGCGGAGGAGCGGGGACCGGCACGCTGGGCGCGCTCGGGGCAACGACTAGTAGCAGTAGCAATGGCAGCGGGAGCGGGCTGTGGGGGAGCGGGTGGGAAGCGAGCGGGGGGGAGGGGAGCGGGGGGGAAGGCACACAGAGCTCGACGGACGGCGGAGAGAGCAGCGGGCGGGAGGCGATGGAGGAGGCATCGCGGTTGCGGGGCGAGGTGTCGCGCGCGCCGGACGAAGCGTCACGCGCGCGGGAGGAGGCGTCGCGCGCGCGCGAGGAGGTGCGGTACTACAAGGACGTGAGCGCGCGCCTGACGGCTCAAGTGGACTTGCTGCGGGTGAGTAGGCGGAGATTGCGCGGGTGAGCGCGCGGAGACGGCGCAACTCCTACTGGGACGCGCAGTTTGAGGGGAGGGGAGTGGAGAGTGGGGAGAGCAGAGAGCAGTAATGAGAGAGTGGGAGGGAGGAGAGTCCTACTTTGTCAGCCTTCCCTCTTCCGCCTTCATTTTCGCTCCACCAGAAAATCCAGCAGATCTTTTATTTGTTTTTCTTTGCCTCACCTGTTCTTTCCGTCACACGCCCGTGTCACGTCCCTGCTTCCCCGCCAGACCACCAACGACTCGCTCGCGCAAGAAGCGCGCCAAGCCGCGGAAGACGCCAGCAAGGCGCGCCGCGAAGCGCAGGAGCTGGCGGCGACTGGGAGGGAGCGCGAGCGCGCGCTGCGCCGAATGGATGGGGCCGCGGAAGAGAAGGAGCGCGCGTGGCGGGATCGCCTGCAGCGCCTTGTGGAGGAGCGCGGAGATCTCGAGGCTAAGCTCCGGCGCGCGGAGGCGGAGCGGGAGGAGGCGGAAGAGCAACTGCGCGCACACAGCGATTCCCGAAGAGGCGGGAACGGGGAAAGCGCAGGCGGGGGGAGCGCGGAGGAGTTGCGGGAGTTGCGCGCGCGGGTGGAGGAGGGGGAGCGCGAGGTGGAGGAGCTGACGCAGGAGAGCCTGCAGCTTGCCGCGGGGCTGAGCGCCGCGCGGAGAGACGTGGCGGAGCGGGAGGCGCGGATCAAGGAGCTCCAGGTGCAGGTTAGCGTGCTGCAGCGGTGGGAGAAGCGCGAGGAGCGGCGGGGTAAGGGCGGAGACGACTGGGGGATGCGGCGGAGAGAGGAGGGCGGAGTGGATGAGAGCGGGGAAGGCGCGGAGCAGGTGGAGCAGTTGCAGCAGCAGCTGCGGCGGCAGGAGGAGCAGGCGCAAGAGGCGGAAGCGCAGGCGCGGCGACTGGAGGAGCAGTGCGCGGAGCTGGAAGAGGCAGCGCAGCGCGGCAGAGAGCGGGCGGAGGAGGCGGAGAAACGCGCGGAGCAGTTGGCGCAGCAGGTGGCGGACGCGGAGAGGGCCGCGCGCGAAGCTGAGGAGGCGCAGAGGCGCGCGGAGGGGCAGGCGCGACTGGCGGAGATGAGCGCGGAGAGGCTAGGCAACCGCGTCCGCGCGCTGACGCCCTTAGAAGCGCGCGTGGGGGAGCTGGAAGAGGAGCTGCGCGTGGGGACGGAGCGCGTGCGCGTGCAGGAGCGGGTCAAGGCGGAGGCGGAGGCGCGCGCGCGACAGCAGGCGGCGCTGCTGGCGGAGGTGCGGGAGGAGCTGGAGGCGGAGGTGCGGCGGTTGGGGAACCAGGTGGAGGGGCTGCAGCAGCGGTGCAGAGCGGTGCAGGGGGAGAAAGAGAGTCTGGAAGCGGAGAGAGACAGATTGGAAGGGGAGGTGAAGCAGGCGCGCGCAGCAGCGCTGGCGGAAGCAGGCAAGGCGGAAGCGGAGGCGAAGCGCGCATGGGGGGAGGTAGAATCGATGAGGCGGGCGGTTGAGTCTCTGGAGAGGGGGAAGCGGGAGGCGGAAGCAGAGGCGAAGGGCGCGCGGGATGCGCGGAAGGCGGCGGACGTGAGAGTAGAAGAGCTGTCAGTGCAGCTGGCGTCGCTGCGGGAAGTGCTGCAGGAGCAGGCGGAGCGGGCGGAGGGCGCGGAGGCGGGGCGGAAGGCGCAGCAGGCGCAGGCAGAGGCGGAGGCGGAGAGGGGCAAGGCGGAGAGGCTGCAGCAGGAGGTCCAGGGGCTGGCGGGGGAGGTGGCGCGGTTACAGGGGGAGGCGGAGCAGGCGCGGAGGGAGCAGGAGGAACAGTGCGCGGAGCAGCAGCGGGTGGTGGAGGGGAGGGAGAGGCAGCGGAGGGAGGCGGAAGGCAGGGCAGCGCGCTTAGAAGAAGCGCTAAGGACGGTGGAAGAGGAGCTAGCGCACAGCCTGGCGCAGAGGCGCCACGTGCAGGAGAGAGAGGTCCAGCTGGAGGCTGAGGTGGCAGCGCTGACTGGGAATGCCGCCAGGCTGGCGGCGGCTGTGCGGGCAGCGGAGGAGAGGGCGGCGGAGGCGGAGGAGGAGGTGGGGAGGATGAGGGAGAGCGTGGAGAGGGCGAGGGGGGAGAAGAGGGAGGTGGAGGAGCGGATGGATGAGGTGGAGGCGGAGAGGAGGCGGCTGGAGGGAGAGGTGGAGCGGGTGAGGGGGAGTGCACGAGGGGAAGGTAAGGCGGAGCGGGAGACGGCAGGGAGTGGGGTGGAGCAGGAGCTGTGGGCACGGCTGGATGTGCTGCTGGGTGAGAAGGAGGAGGCAGTGCAGCGTGCCATACGCGTGGAGGAGGGGTTCCGACGTGAGAGGGCTGCTTGGGAGGCCGAGAGGGAAGAGGTGAGGGGCGAGGCGGAGAGGATGAGAGGAGAGGTGGAGAGAGCGAGGGCGGAGGCGGAGCGGGCGAAGAGAGAGGTGGAGAGGGTTGAAGGGGAGCTGAGTAAGGTGAGGGTGGGTGCTGGTGGTGCTGCTGGTGCAGTGGGAGGGGAGGGGGGTGGTGGTGGGGGAGAGAAGGCGGTGGGAGAAGGGCCAGCGAGGAGGCTGATGAGTCAGATGCAGCGGTGGAGCTGGGTTAGTACCGGTGCTGCCACTGCTGCTGCCACTAGTGTGGCGACAGGGACCAGCACTGGTGATGGCAGCACAGCTGACAAGGCAGGCAGGGGTGACACAGAGACTGACAACCAGCAGCAGCAGCAGCAGCAGGAAAAGAGGGCGGATTCGAAAGAGGGAGGCTCGGATGGTAGCAGCAGCAGTGTGTGGGAGGAGAAGGTGCAGAGGCTGCAAGCAGAGGTGGAGCGGTTGAAGGCAGAGGTGCAGGCAGAGCGCGAGTCAAGGCGAGCCAGCGAGCAGAGGAGTGAGGAGTACACGAGACGTGTGAGGGAGCTAGAGTCCCAGCTGCAGTCCGCCAGGCGGCAAGCAGCCGAGGCGGAGAGGAGGGCAGAGAGGCACGCAGAGGAGATCCCAGTGCTGCGAGCAGAGCAGGCGGCGCTGCGGCGACAGGTGGAGGAGGCAAGGAAGCAAGCAGCAGGCGTGGAGAAGGCGCGACTGGAGCTGGAAACAGAGCAGCGGAGGCTCGCGCAGCAGCAGCAGCAGCAGGGCGCGGGCGCAGGCGGAGACAAGAAGAAAGAGTTTGAGAAGCTGCGAGGGGAGTTGATTAAGGAGAGGTTGGAGAAGCAGGTGGTGGAGGAGCGGAGGGTGTTGCTGGCGGGGCGGCTGGTAGCCATGGAGGCTGAGCTGGCAGGCTTGGAGGAGGTTCGGCAGAGGAATGCGAAGCTGGAGGCAGATGCGGAGACGATGAGGGTTGCTGCGGAGCAGCTGCAGGCTGCTGTGAAGGCCATGGAGGAAAAAATGGCTGCTGCCCATGGGAAGGAGGGAGTGGGGGATGGGGGAGCAGGTGGAGTGGTGGTGGGGCAGGTTGGGGTTGTGGTGGGTGATGGTGTGGCGTTGAGAGGGAGCGTGGTGGTTGTGGGTGAGGGGGATGTGGGAGGGAGTGTGGGTGGTGGGGAGGAGATGAAAGGGGGTGACGAGGGGTCTGCATACAGTGTAGGAGGAGCAGGAGCAGGAGCAGCAGCAGGAGCAGGAGGGGCAGGAGGGGCAGGAGGGGCAGGTGCAGCGGGAGGAGGGGGGGCAGAGAAGGAGTCAGGGCCTCAAGACGTGGACTTTTGGAAGAGCTACGGGCTGCCCCATGGGCGAGTGCCCCAAGGAGGCCGGCTGAGGGAAGAGCGCGTGGCACGGGGTGGCGGAGGTGGTGGTGGGGGCGGAGGTGGAGCAGGTGGTGCGGGAGGAGGGGGAGGTGGAGGAGGAGCAGGGACAGGGACACGAGGCAAGGCAGCGTCAACACAGCCCTTTAGAACCCAGCAGCAGCAGCATGCACAGGTGCAGGCACAGCAGCGGGTGCGGGCATCGAGTCCTGTGGTAGGACGGGCAGGCAGTGGGGCGGGCAGTGGAGGGGCAGGCCGAATGGGTGGCGGCATGAGTGGGGAGAGTGCGAGGAGGGGCGTGAGTCCCCTGCGAGGGGCCAGCCAGGCTCGCTCTTCCAGTCCTGTGCGCGCTGCAAGCCCTGCTCGCACTGCCAGGCAGCCTGCAGCAGGAACGGGAGCAGGAGCAGGTTTGGCGTTTGGCAGTGCGACTACACGCCATGCGTCACCTGCACGCACAGCCAGACAGCAGCAGCAGCAGCAGCAGCAGAGTGGTGGGGTGGTGGCAGGAATGGGGGTGGGAGCAGCGGCGAGGATAGCAGCAGGCAGGGCGAGTGGAGGCAGTGGGGCAGGGCATGCAGGAGGGACAGGCAACAGTGCGGGTAACCGGCATGTGGCCGTGATGGGTGGTGCGTCTCTCTCTCACAGCACCGTCAGCAGCGCCGGCGGCGGTGGCGCCAGCAGAAGTGCTGTTGCAAGCAGCGGCTTGTATGGGAGCCGAGGGGGAGGGGCTGCTGTGGTTGCAGCAGCAATGAGGCGGAGCAGTGAACGCAGCAGCAGCAACCATGCCGTGGCGGCAACACACGCAGAGGGCAGCAGCAGCAGCAGCAGCAGCGGGCATCATGGCAGTGTGACTGCGAGTGGCGGCGGCATTGGCAGCGGCACAGTGACTGCTAGCCTGCTGGGCTGCATGGCGGCATCAAGCCTGCTGGATGAGGGCGCAACGAATCCGCTCTTTGGAGATGATGATGACGAAGAGGTATGTGTAGCGAGGGAGAGAGAGGTACACATACCTCTTCGTCACGACACACTACCCCCCACTGTGACGTGCCTGCCTCCAAAGGCTCCAGCCCCATTTCTTGCTCACCGGCATTCTCTTTTTCTGTTCCTCCTCTTTCGGCTTCTAGTGCCTCTCTCATGCTACTTGAGGGGATTGCTGATCGGTGTTAGTGCCCTTCTTGAACCCTGCATTCATGTTCATGTGTTATTCCCTCCACATCCACCAGGTATCCAGCTCCTGTGAGGGACTGCCCACCAGAATCACAAACCAGATGCCATTCTTAGGGTCTGCCACTGGGAACACTACCACTGGCGACGTGTACAGTGCCACGTCACCAAGCATGCCTGGAAGCTCTAGCAGCAGTAGCAGCACGATTATCAACTGGCGTGGCCATCCCCAAGCGGTGCAAGCCTCGTGGATGGGAAGGGAGGGCCCAGGCGGCCAATATATGTTATAGATGGGGAAAACCCCTATAAGCACACTGAGAGGAAAGTGCAGCAGGGTCTGGTGGCGGATAAAGGCAACCTACGGTACCTTTATAAGTCCGGACATGTGGCAAATACTTCATGCATTTTCAGGGCTCAAACTTTATAAGCGCCCCTTTGTCCATATGTTGTGTGACATTCGGCACGTGATACGCGAGCTAAAGTTCCACTCATACAGCCCATACAGGCAGGGACAAAATGCACTTGTGCAACAGCTTTTATTATCCCATTTACCGATTTTAGACACATAAAATTAGACCCGATACAAGCAGCATCACGTCCTTCGTCAGCATTGCTGGTCTCGCTACTCTCATCGCGCCGTCGCTCTCGTAACCTATTTTAGGGCTTTGCCTCCACAATCGATCCATCATCGATTCCGTTTCCCATTTCCTTCCATAATCCATTCCATCACACCACGTTCCTACTAACTAGTGCCTCGTCAGCACGGCTCCGCAGCTGACGCAGCGGGCCGTGGTTCTATAAATAACAATGACACTGTCTAGTTACTCCACCCGCCAATGCTCGTAGCGTCTAACTGTGTTTGCAACACAACCCGCGTTCCCTCTCTACGATGCCATGTCGCCGACCCCGATCCACCGATCACCGTCCGCCACCCACGCTCTTCCTAATCACCGCGCGCACGATTACCGCGCGCACTTATCCTGTTCGTCGCCGAGTCTCGCAGCAGCTGCTGTCGAGGCGGCGGCATCTGCGGCGGCAGCCAGCGGCATAGGAGCTAGCCGAGTGTTGCACGAGCGGTTGTGCCTTCGCATAGATGTCGCTAACCAATCGCTCGCAGGTTTCGCGGAACTGCATGTTTCCTTGCCGTCCGCCAAACTTCCGCTCGTTCCGCCCGCGGATCGTGCTCCGCCGCCCCGCGATCCTTCCGCTGCGCCGGAGTCTCCTTCTAGGTCGCAGGCGGCTTCCGCTCCCCCGCTGCCAGGCGCTTCCGGTTCCGTTGGCGTTGCGCGGACTCGTTCATTGGACGAGTGCGTTGCGCGCGACGTTGGGGGAGTGCGTGCGGGGGCGCATGCGCAGGAAGGTGGGGGGGCCGGCGAGAACGCGGGGGATCTGGGCCCCGCGCTGTGTTTCCACGCGCGCGGATTACACATCCGCCACGTGGCAGTTGATGGCGTGCCCGCGCCGTTCTATCTCCTCCGCCCGGCCCTCCCGCGATCTAAGCGGGGGGGGCGCGACGAGGGCGGGGCGGAAAGGCAAGGGGGAAAGCGCAGATCTTCGGGGGTTAAACGAGCGGAACGGCAACGGGCGGAGAAGGCCGGGGAGAGAAGGCTAGAGCCAGATGTTGATATCGAGTTATCTAGTGGCGGGAGCGACGGTGACGGTGGTGGCAGCGACGCGGAGAGGGCGGTATCAGGAGCAGGTGCGCGGGCTGCATCAGGTTCCGCAGTCAAGGAGACAAAGCGGGCGCGCGGAAAACGTCCGCGCAGGGGCGCAGGCGCAGGCGGGGCGGAGCGGGAAGCGCAGGCGCGGAGGGTGGACGGAGTGGGAGCAGCGCGCATGGGGATGGGGGAGGGGTGGGATGGGACGGTGGAGGGCGCAGCGGAGAGCGGATACGCGCAGTACCTGCGGCTCGTGCACGAGGAACGCGTGCCTGAGCTAGTCGTGTGGCTGCCACGTGCTGTGACAATAGCACTACAGGCGCAGGCGCAGGCGCAGGCGCAAGCGCAAGCGCAGGCAAACGCGCGGGGAGCGGCAGGAGTTGCAGCAGCAAGCAGTGCGGGTGGGGCAACTAGCACTGGGGGCGCGCCTGCAGCAGACAGCAAGGAGAAGGATAAGGAGCGAGAGAGGGAGAAGGAGAAAGAGAAAGAAAAGGAGAAGGAGAAGGAGAAGGAGAGAGAGAGAGAGGGAGCAGGGGCAGGAGAGGGCGAGGGCGGGGAAGCAGGAGCGGAGGTGGTGGTGAGAGTGAGAGTGGACTACGAGTTAGCGCCGCAGCAGGCGGACACCACACCCCTCACTCCCTTCAGCACCACCACAACCACCAGGAGCAGCAGCGGCGGCAGCAGCAGCGGCGTCGGCAGTGGGGGTTGGGGGAGTGGCGGAGTGCACTTCGCAGGGGGGTGTATGCACACGGTGCTGGGGGTGCCGCGCAGGGCGCGCTGCTGGATGCCGTGCGTTGACTCCCCCCGCCACCGCTGCTCCTTCCTCCTCTCCCTCTCCGTGCCCCAGCCTCTCCGTGCCGTCGCCCCCGGCACGCTTGTCTCGCTCTCCCCTGAGGGCGGGGAGACTGGCGGGGAAGCGGGGGGTTGCGGATTGTGCGGCCGTGTGGGGGGGAGAGGGGAGGGTATGGGGAACGGGGCAGGGGAAGGGGGTGAGGAGGGCAAGGGGGAACGCGAGGGTGGGAAGATATGCGCTGCTTGTGGATCCTCATCAACACCCCCCCCCACCACCCTCAACACACACCCTGTCCCCGCACACACCCCCATTCCGCTCCCCACCGCACACCCGCCCCCCTCCTCCCCGCCACTCCACACCTTCACCTACCAGATGCCTGTACCAATAGCAGCGCACCAGGTGGCAATCGCTGTGGGTCCGTTCGTGGAGCTGCGGGATCCGCGCTGCCCCGCGCTGTCCCACTGCTGCATGCAGCCCGTGCTGGCGTCTGGTGCTCTCGCACGCACCACCGCCACTATCGACGCGGCGTTCCGAGTGTTTGAGGACTACATGGGCTCGCCTTTTCCCTTCCCCTCGCACCGCCTGCTCTTCCTGCCAGAGGCCCACGGCGAACCCGACCCTGCTGTCTCTGCTGCTGCCGCAGCTGTTGCCGACTCAGCAGCAGCAGCAGCAGCAGCCGCAGGGAGCGGTAACCACTGCAGTGAAACCACCCGCAGCAGCAGCAGCAGGCGGTCGCTGTGCCCCTTGGAAGGGCGGTGCGTCTCAGGAGCAGCACTAGTCCTCATAGACTCCAGTCTGCTGGTCACCGATCGGGACATCCACACCGCACTCTCCTCGCGCCTGCGCCTCGTGCGCGCGCTCGCATCCCAGTGGTTCGGCGCATTCATCTCGGCCGAAAGCCCTGCGGACGAGTGGCTCGTGGAGGGCTTAGCAGGGCACCTGGTGCAGGTGTTTGTGCAGCGCTGCCTGGGTGGGAATGAGGCGAGTTACCGGCGTGTGAAAGCGAACGATGCGGTGTGCGCCGCTGATGTTGATGGTGCTGCTGCGCTGTGTCCCCGCCCGTCGCTCGCTGCTGCTGTCGCTGCGTCGTCTGCTGCACATGCTGCGGCTTTGGCTCTAGGGGTAGGGGAGGGGAGAGGCGGAGAAGGCGGGGAGGCCCGGGGGAAAGGGGCAGGAGGAGGGGGAGGAGAAGGCGGAGGAGGAAGAGGAGGGTATGGGGTGGAGGCAGCAGCAGCAGCGGCGTGGAAAGCATGTGCATCACAATCCTCCCAGCCACCGCAATCCTCCTCACAATCATCATCCCAGGCACCACAGCCGTTTGCAGCGCCCTTTGCACTGCACCCATCGGAGCTCGTGTCTCTTGACGCAGCAGCGAAGCGACTGAGAGCGAGCAAGGCAGTGGCAGTTGTTGACATGCTGGCAAGGCAAATGGGTGCTGATGCCTTCCGGAAGCTCCTGCAGAGGCTCATGCTCCGCTCGCAGGCCACCTCCCGGCGGCTTCGCTCGCTAAGCACCGCGCAGTTCCGGCACTTAGCTAACAAAGTTGGGAACTTGGAGAAGCCGTTTTTGAAGGATTTTTTCCCGCGCTGGTTGCACTCTCCGGGGTGCCCCCGGCTGTCGCTGGCGTTTGCGTACGTGCGGCGGCGGAATGTGATCGAGCTAGCTGCTAGGAGAGAAGCCACGGCACGCCCTGATCTCACTGCTCTCTCCTCCTCCCCTGACGCCCCTCCCCTGCCCCCCTCCGCTGCCGCTGCCGCCGCCGCTGGTGGCGTTGGGAGGGACGGGGGGCCAGGCGGGGAGGGTGGGGGGATGGGCGCTGGAGGGGAGTTTGGAGGTCTGGTGGACGAGTTGGGATGGGCGGGCATGGTAAGCATAAGAGTGCAGGAGCCAGAGGGGCGTTTTGACCACCCGTGCCTGCCGCTGGGCGGCGACAGCTGTCTGCTTCTGGAGCTGCCGTGCCACTCGAAGCTGGCGCTGCGGCGCGTGGCGCAGGCAGGGAAGAAAGGAGCCGGGGGAGGCGCAGGGGGGGCGCCGGGGGCAGGGGAAGAGGAGGCAGGCGCAGGGGCAGACGCGGCAGCAGCAGGAGGGGCAGGAGGTGGTGTAGGTGCAGGTGGGGAGGGGAAGGGCGGGGGAGGAGACATGCCGGTGCTGTGGATGAGGGCGGATCCGGACAGGGAGTATCTAGCCCACATGCGCCTCTCCCAACCCGTCCCCATGTGGACCGCCATGCTGGCTCGCGACCGAGACGTGACGGCACAGAGCGCAGCGGTGGCAGCGCTGCAGCAGGTGGGGGATGCGGCAGCAGCGAGTGCGCTCTTTGCGTGTCTCTGTGATGCTTCTGTGTTCTGCCGTGTGCGTGCTGATGCAGCACTGGCCCTCGCGCATTGCTGCACTGCCGCCTCCTTCACGCCGTCGTCCCCGTCGCCGTCTCTCCCCGCCGCTGCTGCCAACCCCACGGACTTATCCCCTTCTCTGCCACACACCCCCCCTGGCACTGCCGCTACCACCACCACCACCACCACGACTACTATCACCATCGGGAGTGGTGGGGGGACCGGCGGCGGTGGGGGTAGCAGCGGCAGCGGCAGCAGCAGCAGTGCGCTACCAGGGTTGGAACTCCTGCTACGTTTCTACAAGGACCGATTCTTCGACCCGCTCACAGGCCTCCCCCGCTGCAACGACTTCACCGACTGGGCGGAGTACTTTGTCCAGATCTGCATCCCGGCAGCAGTGGCCTCAGTGAGGGATGCGCGGGGGTGCTCCCCCGTGGCAGCGGTGTCGTTCCTGCTCTCGCTGCTCCTGCACAATGACAACTCGCGCAACGCGTGGGATGACTCGCACTTCCTCTCTGCGGTCATCTCTGCCATTGCGTCGCTAAAACTCTCGCCTGACCACTTCCTTTGCAGATCTGCCACCGGCAGTGCTGCCGCCGCTGGCGCTCCCCACATGGTACAGGCACAGGCACAGGCACAGGCACAGGCACAGGCACAGGTGGCGCTACAAGGGGAGTGGCGCGCAGCAGGCATGAGCGTCAGTCCCGTGCTGGCTGCCCGAGTGGTGCAGCAGCTGCAGCGCTACCTCTCCTTTGACCGCATTCTCCCCTCCTCCCTCCGCCGCGTGTCTGCCTCGTGCCTGCACGCGCTCACGCACCTCTCGCTCTCTCTGCCCCCGTCCGCCTGCGACCTCCCTGCGCTGCGCTCGCTGTTGCTCAGTCATGCCGGGAGGTATGTGCGGTGTGGGGAGGGGGAGCGGTGGGGGAAAGGCGAAGGGCGGTGGGGGAAGGACGGGGAGGAGGAGGTGGGGAGAGGGCGAGGGATGGGTGTGGTTGGGAATGGGGTAGGGGGAGGATCAGGTGATGGTGGGAGGAGGGGGTGTGGTAGCAGCAGTGATAGTAGCAGCGGTAGCAGTGGCAGCAGCAGCAGTGGCGGGAGCAGCGATAGCAGCGACAGCGACAGTAGCAGCGACAGGGAGAGGAGGAATTGGAGGAGGAAACGGAGGAGGAAGAGAAGGGAGAAGCGGGAGCAGCTACCGCGTCTGCTTCCGGTGCTCCCGCCTCCCCCCGTGCGTCTAGCAGCCCTGTGCTGCCTAGTAGACGTGTACATGCACCAGCTGCTATCCCACACCACCACCACCGCCACCACCACCACCACCACCGCCACTACCTCTCACAAACCCCTCTCTGAATCACTTGCGCCGCCTCGCTCACCCGAGCCAGTCTCCCTAGACCCGCTCCTGCGCCTGCTGCTGCATGTGACTGTGGGCTCCCATGCCGACCCGTCTCTCCGCGTGCGAGTGAAGCTGCTCACCCACTCCTCCCCCTCCATCCGCCACCTCTGTGCTCTCCTCGGCGCTCCCTCTGTCGCCCTGCCGTCCCTGTCCCACCCTGCGTCTGCTGGGCCTGCGGGTGGGAGGAGCAGGGAGGGCAGTCGGAGGAGAAGCGGAGGGGGGACGCCGTGGTCTGGGGCAGGGCTGGGAGCGACATGGGAACAGGGGGGAGGAGGAGGGGGGGGAGGAGGAGATGTTGCAGGGGGAGAAGGAAGGGGAGGAGGAAGGGGAGCAGGGCTAGTGGTGTCAGCAGGGGTGTTAAATCGCCTTGTCGCCTCCCTCTCTTCCCCTCACGCCTTCTCCTCCCCTCCTCTCCGTCACGCGCTCTTCTCCCTCCTCTCCTCCCTCGCAAACCTCCCCTCCTCCCTCTACCGCCCGCCACATCTCTACACGCGAGCAGAGGCAGCAGCAGCAGCGGCAATAAGAGCAGGGGTAGCAGGCACTGCAGCAGCAGCAGGAGGAGGAGGAGGGGGTATGAGAGCAGGGGTTTCGTTAGGAGCTGGGGGTTCATCCCTTAGCGCTGGCGCTGCTAGGCGGCCGGAGGGGGTGTCTCTTACTGTGCGCCTCCCCCGCCCTGCTCCCCCTCCTCCTCCCCCTCCCCCCCGCCTGGAGCCCATCCGCCTGAGGCTCACCCCGGGGGGAGGGGCGGGGGGAAGCACCACCAGCACGGGCAGCGTGGGGGCAAAGGGCGGAGCAGGGAGCGTGGGGGGAGCAGGGGGAGGGGAAGCGGGGGAAGCAGGGGCGGCGGGTGTGGTGGGTGTGGTGGGTGCTGTTGGTGGTGTGGGTGGTGGTGGGGAGGCAGGAGGAGGAGGGTCACGGGGAGGGGTGGAGGAGGGGAGGGTGGGGAAAGTGAAACTGAGGTTCAAAGCGGCTGCATCCCCCTCCTCTGCTGCCAGTGCGGAAGCAGGTAGCAGTGGTGCGATGGCAGGGGCAGGGGGGGAGGCGGGGCATGCTCAAGGGGAGGTGGGGCGGGGGGGAGGCGTATCAGGGCTTGGGGCAGGGGCAGGGGATGGGGGGGGGATGCCAGGGGCGGTTAGGGGGAGGGGGGGGAAGACAAGGGGGAGTGAGCGGAGCAGTGAGAGTTATGGAGGGGGGATGGGGGAGAGGAGTGTGGGAGGGGGAGGGGGAGAGGAAGGCGGAGGGGGAGGGGGAGGGGGAACAGGAGCGGGATTGGGGAAAGGCAGTGGGGAGGCGAGTGCGGGGAGCCATGGTGTGGAGGGGAGGAGCGGGAGTGTGGGGGGGCGGATGAGTGCATGGGCGGAGGGGGTAGAGCAGGGCAAAGGGGAAGGGGAGGGAGATGGGGGGAAAGAAATTTCGCCAGGAGGGAAGGAGCGGGAGGGCGGGGAGGCAGGGATATGCAGTGAGAGGGAGGAAGGAGGGGTTGAGAGAGGTGGAGAGGGTGAGGAGGAGAGGAAGCAGATGGTTGCAGGGAACGACAAGGAGAGGGGCAAAGGGGATCTGGGAGTAGGGGAGAAGGGAGGGAGTGAGGGGAGGGGGGACGGTGCGAAAGCTGGAGAGAAGGAAAGCAAGGACGGGGGAGCGAGGAGCAGTGGTGGTGAGATAGGTGGGGTTGGTGGTGCTGTTGGTGGCGGTGCACATGGAGGGGAGGAGGGGAAGGGGGAGAGGGGCAGTCAAGGGACAAAGGATAATGAGGAGAAGCGAAGTAAGAAGAAGAGGAAGAGAGAGGAGGGGGACCATGGGCGGGAGGATAGGAAGAGCAGTGGGAAGAAATCAAAAGAGGAGAGCGACAAGGAGAAGGATAAGGATAAGGGTAGGGATAAAGGTAAGGAGAAGGAGAAGGAGAGGGATAAGGAGAAGGGTAAGCGTGATGGGAAGAAGGAAAAGGAAGACAGTGAGAGGAAGAAGAAGAAGCGGGAGATGCGGGAGGGGGAGACAGAGGCAGAGCACAAGGAGAGGAAGCGGCGAAGGAAGGAGGAGAAGAAGCTAAAGAAGAAGAGAGAGAAGGAGGAGAGGAGGAAGGGGGAGGCAGCGGATGGGAAGAAGAAGAAGCGAGACGGGACGGGCAGTAGCGGTGGTGAGAGGGAGAGGGAGAAGGGAGAGAGGTCGGTGCGAGCAGAGGCGGATGGTGCAGGGGTGGAAGGGGAAGCAGGTAGCTTGCAGGGGGATGCAGTGGGTGGTGTAGGCACGCAGCAGGGCAGGCAGCAGGGCACGCAAGGCAGCACCCAGGAAAGCACCCCTGGTGTACGAGAAGTGGACGAATCAGGTGGCGATGAGAGTGGTGGGGAGGAGAGGGAAGGGGGTGGTGGTGATGGGGATGGGCATGCGGATGGGGATGGGGATGGGGATGGGAATGGGGGTGGGGATACAGACCAGGATGAGCATGGGAATGGGGATACTGATGGGGATGGGGATAAGGATAGGCATGAGCATGGGGATGGGGATACGGATGGGGATGGGGATGGGAAAGGGGATGGGCATGGGCATGGGCAGGGGGAAGAGGATGAGGATGAAGATGGAGTGCACGGGGAGGATGGCGAGGGTAGTGGATGGAGTGGCGATGAGGGGCGGGAGGTGCATGACCCGCATGGCATGGATGGCATGGATGGCACGGATGGCATGGATGGCACGGATGGCATGGCATGGCACGGTAATGCCACATCGCCTCCTCCTGCCCCACATGCTGATAGCCCCCGTGACAGTCTGATTCAGCATGCGGAGGGGCATGAGCATGAGGATAGACATGGGCTTGGGCTTGGGCATGGGCATGAGCATGAGCATGGGCATGAGCATGGGCATGGGCATGGGCATGAGTCACAGGAGCAACAGCGACACTTGGATCCATCATCCAGCCCCCGGCAGTCTCCACCCCATCACCAGCCACCAGCCGAGTCATTCGCAGCGCGTGTGGCATCTCCTTGCTAGCAAGACATTTTGAGACATCGTATTGGTGTCAAAAGTCAACAGTTGCATTGCAGCGTATAGGTGTCTCCTTGCTGCCATATTCGGATTGCTAGGAACGGGGACGCACAAGAGGGGTAAGGGGGGCGAGACGTTTGCTGTCAAATTGCCAACAGGCATGGGTTTGTTGGCTTGCTCTGGTAGGGCCTAAGGAGTGTAGGAGGGCGGTAGGGCCTCTTGGACTTTTGAAGGCTTTAAGGATTGTAGGAGGGGCCTGGATGTTCAGATGGATTGTTCAGGTTATTGATAAAACAAATGAGCATAATTTTAACCAGTTAATGATAAGACCCTATACCGGTACCACTGGAGATCGGGCATTACCGTAGGTCGGACTTCAGTTCACCTCAATTGATCCCCTAGGGTGTGTTCTGCAGAAGGGGCATCTATCCCTAGGCTCACAGCTCGTTCAATTTATCGTGGTCCAGGTCGTTTCTACACGGTGGAAAGCGGTTCGTAATCTTCAAACGTTACGAGATAGACCGCAAAGAATGTACAGCTCCTAAGCGCAGAAAACCATTTCAGATGGCTAGGCAATTCATTAGTACCCACATTAGGGGCCAATCGGGAGTAACATTGCAGGCTGGTGACTGGGGTGGCGGCGCAGGCATTTTGAGCTTCCGTCAGGTCCTATCCTCTGCGGTGCATTCCGCAAGGTTCAGCACGGATTGGGATCTCGTTCCCATTTCTCGCGTCGCAGCCTCTGTTCCTTTTCCGCTTAAATCCTAAATTCCCCCTCCGCCTTCCGCTCCTCACTCTCAGCGCATTCTCCTTCCTCTCCGCCGTCTTCCTGTATCTGCTACATGTGTCGCCGCCCGCGCAACGCTCCGCTCTAGCCTCTCCGCCAGCCTGATCCTTTGCGCCCTTTGGTGCGCGCAGTGCGCGGAGCGGCGGAATGGATCCCATGGCGTACGCGGACGATCTCGTGCGCGAGCTGCTGGTTTTCCGCGGATTCGCGCACACGCTAGCGGCATTCGAGGCGGAACTTGCGGCGGACAAGCTGCAACCGCCCCAGGTATTGCGCGCGCTTGGCTGCGCTCCGCTTGGCTTCGCTCCTTGCGTTGCTCCGCCATCTCCTCGCAACTTGGCGGATGCCGCCACCGCCCCTCGCTCTATGGGGCACTTCGCTCCGCACAGCGAACCGTTTCTCTACATGTCCCTTACCCCATCCTCCCCGGCCCTTCCGCCATTCCCTCGCGCGTCCCCCCAGGCGCAGCGCGTGGTGCATCACATCATGCGCGAGCTCATCCCCGCGCTGGACTGGCGCGCGCTCGCGCGCCTCTTCCTGGTGCTCCGCCAGCGCTTCCTGGCGCGCGCGGACGGCGCGAGCTGCGCGGCGCTGGAGGAGCTGGAGATGGGCGTGCAGCGGCTGTTCATGGTGACCGCCATGCGCGCGGGCAGGCGCGCGGAGGTGGTGCGCGTGCTAGAGGACATGGGGGAGAGCGTGCAGGCGCTTCTCATGACCGCGCCCCATGACTGGACGCTCTGGTTCGGTACGAAGTGCTTGTGTGGTGTGGTAACGCAGTAACCTGGTAACGCGGTATCCTCGTAACTTGGCAGCGTTGCGATTAGGCAGGGCAATGCCATGGCGTATGCTGGATTCACTCACGTCTCATCACGCCATACCCTGTCCTGCCCTGCTGCAACGTGCAGGGCCTACCCTCCTGCCTTACCTGCACCGCACTCAACCGCACTCACTCACGCAGAGCACTCATGCCATGCTGCCGCACTCCCTGTGCTTGCCTGGCGCACACCTCCTCCCATTCACCCCTTCCTTTTCACCACTCCCTCTCACACCGTTTCCTTGCGCATACCGCCCCGTCCCTCCTCCAAGCCCCCCTCCCTCCCTCGCACCCCATGCCCCTCTCGTCCCTCTCCCTCACCCCATGCCTCTCTCCCCCCTCCCCCCAACCAGCGGCGCTGTACATGCGGCATCCGGAGCAGCACCCAGTGCTGGTGGTCTCGTCACCCGTTGCCATCCCTCCCTTCTCCCATCCTTCTCCCCTCCCTCTTCCTCTTCCTCTTTACCCATGCCCCCCGCTCCCCCCAACCAGCGGCGCCATACATGCGGCATCCGGAGCAGCATCCAGTGCTGGCGGTGTATTTCACGCCCGAGTGGGCGGACAGCCTCACCGCCTCGCTCACCAACTTCCTGCACCGCCTCTTCCACTCGCTCCATATCCCGCCCACCTGCCCTCCCACCCACCCACCCACCCGCCTGCCCACGCCTCGCTCGCTCCCCTTCCCGTCCCGTCCTTTCTCGTCCCTTCCCTTCACGTCCATTCACACCCTTAGCATCACGTTGCATCGCTATCATCCTTGACTTCACCCAGTCTTACCAGTCTGTATCCCATGCTACACACAACCCGCTTTCCTTTCTGCTGCGTGCTGCTTTTTTCTAAATCTCCTCGTAAGTAGCCCTGTTAGGCAGACATGCCTCTTGTCCCTCACTTTCCCAACTGTACTCCACTGCACTGAATCTCACTGAACCGCACTGCACTATACCCTTCAACCGTCACCTCCCACTACCCATGTGCTCCTTCACTCTGCACGCCCCTTCCTCTCTCCCTCTAACTCTCACCGGTGCGATCGATCGGCCCCAACACAAGGCTCGTCGAGGCCACAGCAGCCGGCGCTGCTGCGCTTCTGTGAGGAGCAGCGGCGAGCGCACCACCTGTTGGCAACCAACGACCACGCTCAGCGCCAGATCGCGCGCCTGCGCCTGCTGCTGCGCGCACGGGACAAAGACCTTTCCCTGCTCCGCCAGTTAGCCGCCCATCCCTCTCTCCCCTTGCGCTCCCCGTCGTCGACGACTCCTCTCCTCCACCATCCCCTTTTCTTCCCCTCCCCTTCTCGGACCCCTCTGCTCTTTCTTCCACCTCGCTCCCTCCCCTCTCCTCCCTCTCCGTCCCGTCTTGATCCCCTCTCCCTTTCCTTTCCATCCCCTTTCCGTTTCCTGCTGTCTGTTACGTATTTGCCATGCGTTACGCCATCTTTTCTCTCTTGCATGCACATCACTGCCTGCACGCTTTCCCTCATCTCCCCTCCTTCTCTTCTACGTTTCTTCGCTCGCCTTGCCTTTCTGTCATCCAATCGGCTCCCCTTGTTTCCCTGATTTCTCACATGCCTCTCCTCCGTCTCCCTCTCCTCCCACCCATCTCCACCCCACTCCACCACCCATTACCTTCAGAAAGCTCCAAACCCTGGCACCGGATGAAGACCCTCTCTTTCCCACTGCACCCTTCTCCACCTATCTACACCACCACCCCTCCCATGCCCCCTCCGCCTCTGCCGCCCCTCCAACCCTCCACACGTCTCCTCCCCCTACATTCCCCCCATCACCGGTCCCTTTGCCTGTGCAATCTCCCTTGTTGCCAGAAGCAGCAGCAGCAGCATTATCAGCAGCAGCAGAATGTGCAGCAGAGGGGGGGAGGGGAGAGGCAGGCAAGGAGCGATCAGAAGCAAGGGGAGCAGCAGGCGGGGACGTGGACGGGGGGAGGGATAAATGGGTGGGTGGGGAAGCTGGGGCGTGGGGGGGAACAGGAGAGTATACAGCAGCAGGTGAGAAGGTAGGGCGTGGTGAGGCTCCTTCAGCTTTTCACACTCCTGCTCCTGCTTTTGACACTACAAGTGCTGCTGATGCTACAGCTGCTGATGCGGGTGCTAACACAGGGCAGCTTCCAACCCATGGTGATGGTGATGCAACAACTGCCGCTCCTCCGGCTGATACAACTGCTACCGCTGCGACAGCGGCTGTGGGGGGGACGGGCGTGGTGGGTATGGTGGAGGGGTGGTTTGGGCGGAGGCAGGGGTGGGGGAAGGCCAAGAATGGGGGTCCTGGGGCACAGCAGCAGGGTGGTAGCGCGAGCATGGTGAGCGATGCCAGTGGTTCCGCTAGCCATGCTGCCTCATCCACTCCTGCTCCACTGCTTGCCCCTGCAACTGCTGCTGCTGCTGCTGTGGCGCCTGGAGCAGGTGAGCATGGGGAGAGTGGCAGCAGCGGTGGCAGCAGAAGGAGTGGCAGCAGCGGCAGTGGCACGAGTGGGAGTAATGCCGGGAGCAGAGCAGTGGCGGTGCAAGCGATGGTGGGCGGAGGCAGCATGTCGCTCGTTGCCCTTTCTCGCGAGATTAAGAATGCCAGACAGGCTAACCTTTCAACCCCAGGCACCGCCAGTTCTGCTGGCGGTCAGGGCAGCAGCAGCAGCAGTGGCAGTGGCAGTGGCAGTGGCAGTGGCAGTGGCAGTGGCAGTGGCAGTGGCAGTGCAGCAGCGGGTGGGGCGCGGAGGGGGGAGAAGGAAGCGGGTGGTGGTGCGGAGAGGGATGGGGGGAAGGCGGAAGAGAGGGAGGCACAGGGGGGTTTAGAAGCGGTGTTGGGGGAGAGAGTGGGGGGTGGAGGGCCGGGGGTGGTGTGGGTGGGGGGGCTTGTGACGCAAGGCGCGGAGGCAGGTGGTAAGGTGGGGATAGAGGCGGAGCGAGGGGTGCAAGCTGGGAGAGCGGAAGGGGGAACGGCTGGGGAAGGGGTAGGAGAGGGCGGGGAAAGGCGTGGTGCAGTGGAAGGGAGAGGCGAGGCAGGTAGCAGGGCGTTACACTCTGAGAACGGTGTGAGTGGACGGGATGACGTGAGGGTAGGAGGGGTGGTGGAAGGACGAGGAGGGAAGGGGGGGCGGGGGGGGAGCGGCGGAGCTGCATGGGAGATGGCAGAAGCAAGGGAGGAGGAGGAGAGACGCGCTGGTGATGGCATGCTGCAGGCAGAGTCGCAGGTAGTTACTGCTGTGGTACCGTCTATGGGGTTGGTTGTACAACGTGCATGCACACACACAGGTGGCGTTGTTGTACGCAACACAACACACCCCTCTGCTGCTCTGCAGAGCAGCTCCCCTCCGTTTTCCAGTTGAGTCTAGTTTTGAGGCGCCTCAAAACTAGCCCCCTCCGTTTTCCACTAGAGCCATGTCTGTCTGTGCGCTCCTCCTCCATCTCGGCCATGCTATCTCTGGGATCGGTTTTGAGATGTTTCAAAAGTCTCTGCCATGCTATTCGTGGGATATTCGTGCGTTGCAAGCAGCCCTCTCAGAGCACCTCTTGCACCCGTCAGCCTGCCTTCCCCCCGCTCCCCGCCCATCCTTGCTTCCTCTCTCAACATCCCTTTTTGTATCGCATGGCATGGTATGGCATGGCATGGCATGGCATGGCATGGCATGGAGCACAGGAGGTGTATGCAGCGCATGCAGGGCCCATCACTCGCTGCCGCTTCTCCCCGTCAGGCGCCAACATAGCTAGCGCCTCTGCGGATGGCAGTATTAGGTCAACCCTGCACAACCATCCCACTGCTGCTCTTTCATTCTCATTTGCCTCATTCTCATTTGCCTCTGTCTCATTCGCCGCATTCTCGCCCTGCTCCCTGTTGCTCACTCTGCCTCTCTGTTTCTCCCCACACATGACACACCCGGCCACATGCCACCTCTCACAGTCATCCTCTTTAGCAGCACTCCTCCCAGCTTGCAGTGCAAGTCCAACCCACAACCCTCCATCCATTCGCCCTCAACCCGCCCATCACCCACTGTGCAGAACACGGGAGCCGGAGATCTCAGTGGTTTTCATTCTATCTTGAACCCCTAACAGCGATCTTTGAGAATTCTCAAAAAACGTTTTCACTCTATCTTGAACCCCTCACACAACTCGCCTTTTCCATCCCCCACGTGCTTGACCCCCCGTCTCATCTTCCCTCGCCCCTCAACCCGCCCGTCACCCACTGTGCAGAATATGGGAGCCGGAGATCTCAGAGGGAGCAGCGGAGGGGCGGGGGGTTGCCGGCGTGGTGGTGCGGGGGCAGAGGGATGCAGCGATTCTGGGGGATGCCCCCGTGCAGGCTCTTGAATGGGACGCCAAGTCCGACCGCCTGGTACGTTGGAATCATTCTTGAGAATTCTCAAAAGTGGTGGTGCGGGGGCAGAGGGACGCGGCGATTTTGGGGGATGCCCCCGTGCAGGCTCTTGAATGGGACGCCGAGTCCGACCGCCTGGTACGTTGGAATCATTCTTGAGAATTCTCAAAAGTGGTGGTGCGGGGGCAGAGGGACGCGGCGATTTTGGGGGATGGCCCCATGCAGGCTCTTGAATGGGATGCCAAGTCCGACCGCCTGGTACGATGCACTCATGCCTGCACGTCATGACACGCATGCCTGCTATGTATGCACACCAATCCATCACACATGCACTCCCATCCATCACACATGCACTCCCATCCATCACACTTGCACCATCGTCCACGTACGCACTGCTCTCGTCTGCCATGAGGGAAGTGCATGCTCCTGTCTGTCATCCATCCATCTTCTCCTTCTCCATGCCACATGCACCGCCAGCAACTCATGCCCACATGCGAAACTCTATTGCCCGTCCTGTTCCCACCACGGTCATCATTCAAAGTCCCTTGCCCGTCCTCTTGTCTGCGATCCCCACACCTGTGCCCCCGCCATATGAGCTGGTTTTTGAGAATTCTCAAAATCCCCACACCTGTGCCCCCGCCATATAAACTAACCAACGGCAGTGAAAACACTCCTTTTTCTCCATCAGTGAAGGTCTCTTCCCCTTATTACCCCGCTTCCTCCACTCATTCCTCTTCCTCTCTGTTCATGGTGTGTGAGCGGCATCAGCTGCTGGCAGGGCTAGCAGACGGGCATGTGAAGCTGTGGAACGCGCACTCCAAGCACATGCTCTCAGACGCCCTGCACCCACAGCCCTACACCAGGTACGCCCTGCAACAATACTTTGGTGGTGTCTTTGCACTCCGTTGCTGTGTATGAGTGAACTGCATGCATTGCCATGCGTTGTGGGGGGTGTGCATGCATGTACGTTGTGGTGCGTGCATGCCTCCTGTGTGTGCATTTTGAGGGAGGCCAAAGTTGCCTTTTCTGTGTGGTTGCACGTGCTGTGCTGCAGACTGCTAGACATTCGTTCCAGCCCATCAGAGCATCTTTTCGCATGTGCTGCAGCAGCCTTCGACCACCCGCACCACTCTCCACCCCTCACATCATCTCTCCAACCCACGTGAGTCTCATACTCTCTCCTTTCTCTCTCTGTTCGTCCTCTTTCAATCACACACTTGCATCGGCTCTTCGTCACCCACTCTCGACCCACCCTCTCCTCCTCCCCTACCCTCTGCATCCCCCTTTCACAATCCCCAATCTCCCATCCCCAACCCCCCATCCCCCACTGCGCATCCTCCAACCCTCACATACCCGGATGGAATTCCTGGCCTCTCAGTCCCCCGCGTGCGTCATCGGCCCGTCAACCACTCCCCCCACCTGCACCTTATGGATGCATATCCCTCTGGAGCCTCCGCACCATGTCGCTCCAGGTACGCTGCACTACTGAGACCTTTGAGTCGACTTAAATGTCAGTGTCAGCTCGCACTCAGGCATTACTTGTGATGTTAATCGGTCCAAAATCCCTCTCAGCGTCACCGCATGGATTCATATCCCTCTGGAGCCTCTGCACCATGTCACTCCAGGTACACTTCACACATGCATGCATACATCATTCTGTGAGTTAGCTTCATCTGTGCAGTGCGTGTCTTCTCAGGCGCCTCGATTTTTGTCCTGAAAACGGTCTTTGAATGTTGTCCCTAAGCTGCATGCACACAGGGCACTCTGCCACAGGGTAACTTCTGACAAACTTTCTTCAACTATCAATTATCCCTTGTGCGCACAGGGCTATCTCCCACTGGGAGAATCACCCCCACTCATCACATCTATCTGCCTTAACCACAACGGAAGAATGCTCGCTGCTGCTGCTGCTGACGGCACACTCAGACTCTTCGGTAATTATTCCTGGCTTGGGACATCTCAGATCAGGCTGCTCGCAACCCACTCGATTTCGCAATGCAACACAACCAGTTTCCGTTCCTATTCCTATTGGCTGCCCTCCGCTGTTGCCACTCTCGCTCCCCTATTTTGCCTGGCCCCACCTGTCCCTTACCCGTCACCACGCACCTCTTTTTACAGTCCCTCTGCTGTCTCTGTCCCTTCCACCCCTCCCCAATACACTCCTCTGTCTGCAGACGTGAATGCGGCATCGCAGATCGCCTGCTGGCCTGTCACCCTGCCAGGCACCTCCCCCTCCTCCTCTGCGCACCCCCTCTCCCCCGCGGTCTGTGTGCGCTTCCTCTGGGACCACTCCTCGCTCTTCTCGCTCTCTGCTTCAGGCCAGGTGACTCCTCCGCTTCTCCCTTCCTCCGCTACTCCTCTCCGCTCCTCCTCCTGCGTGCCTCCCTCCGCGCCTGCACTCTCTCCGCTCCTTCGCTCCTCCCGCCTTCTCTCTTCCCCCCAATCACTGCCTCTACTTCGTCTCTGCTCATACACTAGTTCCTTCGGAGGTGTGGTGTGTGCCAGTTCTCTATGCTCTTTCTCTTGCCATCTCCACCCTTTCCACCCTCCCCGCCTTCCCGGCCCTCATTGCCCTCCCTGCTTCACAGATAACGGAGTGGAGTCTGCACCAGCAGGGCCAGCTGTTGCGTCACTTCGATGCATCCAGGTACTCACCTCCCCGTTCCGGCCTGTGATGAGTCGATTTCTTAGTCGACTCAAAAATCGACTCATCACATGCCCGCGCCACTCACCTCCCCGTTCCGGCCTCAACTCAGCGTCGATTCTCTCATCCTCTTGTCCTCTTATCCTCTCATCCTCACTTCAGCGGTCCGTTTCAATCATGTGGGAATATGTTTCTTCATGTCCGTTTGTGTCTGCTTCTGTGTTTGTGTGTGTGTGTGCCCTGTTCCCCTGGCAGTTACTGCATGCACCCACCAGGCAACACAGGGCCAGTCCCATTCACCCATGGCTCTGGGGGCTCTGACTCCCACTCGCACTCTGAGACCCAGTCCCAAGCGCTGTCCCCACGCGTGCCGCTGCTCTCAGCGCGCTCGCTCCTGCTGCCGCACGAGCTGGCCATTGACTCGCAGGGATCGCACCTCCTCACCACCTCCTCCTCCCACTCACCCCAGCTCCTCGATGTATGTGCCGCGCCTTTATACGTTTTACACATCTCTCTCTTGCTCTTCTCTCTCACTGCTGTATACACTCTCTCTGCACTCTCCTTTTTCTCTGCTCTCTCTGCTCTCCTCTCCCTCTAAATACCTTTTGCAGTTCTCTGTCCTCCCTTAAATCATCACCTTCTCGAGTTTTGCAACTATCCAAAACTCAGTCGTCAGCCTCTCCCATCAATCCCTCTCAACAACATCACAGTCATCACTCACCACCCAACATCCCATGCTCCCTCTCTCTCTCTCCCCTCCCCCTCCCCTCTCCTCCCCTCTCCTCTCCAACACCCCTCCCCTCCCTCTCCCATGCACTCCATCCAGCTACGTCTCTCTCAACCAGCGTGGCACGGGGCGGCCACGCATGCAGCGCCCGTCACCACAGTCGACTGGCACCCCACGGCTCATGCCTTTGCTTCGGGCTCTGCAGATCACACCGTGCGAGTCGTCTCCCTCTCATGACTCGTGCTGCCACCTGGATTCTCGTTCCCAGTTGTGAAATGTCCCAATTCTCCCAAGACTGCTCTTCACCGCACTGGACCGGCAGGCATCCCACAGCGCACGCCTTTGCCTTCGGTTCAGCACATCACACCGTGCGGGACGTGTCGTCTCCCTCTCATGACTCACCATATCCACAGGGTTCACTCCTCCTGCAAGACAGTCTCTCGAGAGACTCTTAGGGCGATGTCAGGTTGTACAACTTTTTGTACACCCTCTCCGGTAAATTTCGTTTCAACACGGTGAAGAGCGGTAATCGTCGAGAACCGCTTTTCACCGTGTTGGACCGTCCTGAACTACGATACAGGAACTGTAAGTGCGTGTGAAATGTATAACCTGACGTCGCCCTTATGGTAGACTAGAGTTGCATCCCACAAGCCGTATGCCTTTGCCTCAAGCTCTGCTCTCCACACTGAGCATTCTTGAATAGGCCACTTCCTGTTGCTGTTGCTGCTTTTCAGCAGCCCTTCTCCTCACAAGCTGCAGTGGCAGATAGATGGCTGTTGCTATCTGTGTCATACTTAGGGTAGTGCTGTGCTAGTAGGGTGTGGTAACAATTGCTTCTGTGCTGAAAGTAAGCACAGAGTGTACGTGGAGTTTTTCTACACAAAATGGTGCCGGTGCGGCAATAAAGCTGCAGCTATGGATAATTGACTCAGCAAACTTGCCTCTGCAAGAGCAGGGCACCTGCAAGACAGAAGTCTGAAATACTTTGCAACCAATTGAATCTGCATTGATGTATGACGGTAACACATCATCATGGCCCCTGAACTCCAGCTCTCTATGCTATCACCCCACTTATCACCCTCCTTTTTCCTTTCATACGGTAAGTCCACACCTTTATAGAAACTGGCAGGGAGAAAAATCTGCCATATGCACCATACTGACTCAACAGGTTTGCATGCACCATCACACAAGCTCTCGAGCATCAGCACATCGATGCCCACACATCAAACACTCACATGCCCATCTGCACACACAGAAAACTCCCCATCTTGACTCCCCTTTCTTCATTCAATGACACGGCCAAGAATCACTAAGTACCAGTCTTGTACTCCCAAGTTCCTACCACCACAGTCGCATGTTGCTCCCATGCCACATGAAAACCAGAACCGGCCATGCAGCAACAAGCGCACAACCATCCACCACTCCAGCCAAAGCCCACTGCTGTAGCACCCGGTCGGAAAAACCACACACCACCACAGACAAATCACACCACACCACCCTCTCTTCCAAACTGCCCACGTCCTGAACCACCTGCTCATCCCACTGTTGACATGCCAGAGCAAGCACGTGTCACACATGCAGCACTAGTAGCACTAGTAGCACTTGTAGTCAAAACCTGACAACTTCCAAGAGCCCTCTCACTCCCTCTGCTTCCACTTTTGAGGCGCCTCAAAAGTCGTTTACAAGCCCCCCTCTCCTCCACCCTCGTTCACGACCCAGGCATGCGCTTCCCTCTCCCCAGGGAGAACCCTCTGCTTCCATCCGGACCCCTCGGCCCTGGCAGTGGCTTGCTCCCCACTGCCTCCCCCCCACCGCCGCTGCTCCCACCACCTCCGCCACTGCCGCCAGCAGCAGCTGCTGCTGCACCAGGCGCACTCCCTTTAGAACCGACCCCTCCTGCCCCACCCCGGCCGGCTGCTGCTCCTCCCGCTCCCCCTGCTGCCCCGTGTTTGTTGCCACCTCCCTCTCCCCCTCGCCCCCTGCCCTTCCCTGCCCTGCTCTTCTTGCCGTGAGCCGTGGGCGATGCAGCAGGCGCAGCGGCGCAGGAGTCACAAAGGGGGTCTCCTGAACATGCCTGTGCATGCATGTGCATGTGCATGTGCATGTGCTGACATACACAAGGGGGATAGAGGTCTTAAGAAATGGAAATAAGGACAACGTGGGAGGTACATGCATGGAAGTAGTCGGAAGGAGCTGCAGTGGGTGATACGGCACCTAAAAAAAAAAAAAAAAAAAAAAAAAAAAAAAAAAAAAGGAGGTTTGGATCAGCTTCACATCATAGGTAAAACCACCACGATTATGATACACTAGCAGCACTGGCTGTCAAACAAATTGAGCAGACTGGGGCAGACCACTCACCTTGCCATCACTGCTCACCTTGTTCTCATTGCCAGTCGCCAGTGCATGCCCTCCCTCTCCTCCCCTCCTGCTGCTCTTCTCAATCCGCTCCATGCCGCTTCCACCCCTGTCCCCTGTGTCCCCAGGAACCCCAGCCATGCCAGCTGACTTCCTGCCCCTGCCTGTTGCTTCCACATGCTGCCCCTGCCTCTGCTGATCCTGCTGCTGCTGCTGCTGCTGTCGACGCTGCTGCCGTTCGTGCCTCACCTGCGCTTGGTGCTGCGTCAACTGTATCTGTTCCTGCTGCCAATGCTCCTGCTGCTGATTCAACTTGTTCTGCTCCTGCTGCCACTGCTCCTGCTGCTTCTGCAGCTGCTGCTGCAGCTCCTGCTGCTGCTGCATCAGCTGCTTCTGAAATGGTGAAAAAGGTAATAGCAGCACACATAAGGATATATGCAACTATTCAACACTAGCATGGTCCGTTACCAAGAATTTGTGAAATATATATGTTGCGTGACTTTTGAGCCAGTGGTAATTTTGTACGTTATGAGAAGACTCTAAAACAACAGGACTTACTTTAGTGAGTTTCTTGAACAGCTTGACGTGCATCCCATGGCGCCAGTCGCTGCTGTTCAGTGTCTCCACCTGTCAGCACAGGACGGGTAAATTGGTGGTAAAACTGCTTTTAAATTTTCGAGAAAAAAAAGGGGTGGATATTTGGTGGACGCGTAGTGCGCGTGTGTCACCATCCATTATAAAAAACTTAGGGAAGAGGATAGCTGAGAAATGGTAGCTGGGGCAGGTCATGTGGCTGGTGCTCGTGCATGTGGGAACAAGCAGAGGGCAGGTAACGAAGTGAGGAGCGGAGGTGAGGGTAGAGCAGTAGGCAGTGACTACCTCTGAGAATTCTTAAAAGTAATCGCAGTTAGGCAATGAAGAGACATACCGCATTGTGAGCTTCTTTCACTGTCTCAAACTCGATCAATGCGTGGAACTGAGAAAGATAAGGCGAGGTTCAGATGGAGGCGAAGGAAAGTGCAAAAACACACACACGCGCGCAGCAAACACACACACACGCACACGCACACATACACACACACACGCACACACGCACACACACACACACACACACACACACACACACACACACACACACATATGCACACACACATCCACACACACACGAAAAAGAGCCCGTTGCATCATGGATTGAACATGGAAGCACGTGCACCCATGCGCATGTGTGCACACACAATGTCGAAAATACACAAGGCATGAAAAAAAACGCAGACACCTCAAACAGCACTGATTTCCTTCGCTTCTTCTCGCCACTCAAATCACCCACGTCTCCCCTCCCCACCTGCAAGCACACTGGCGACTTTTGAGATTTCAGAAACCAGTTCAGCCAGACTTTATGAGCTGCTAACAGCCACAGCACCACTCGCTGCAGCCACACCATCCCAGTACACCTCACCTTCGCACATGATGATGCCTCCCCGTGGAACCATTCAAGTTGATGGAAATAAGACCTCCGCAGCCCACCTGTCCGCTACTGACAGCACCTCACCTTCGCACATGATGATGCCTCCCCGTGGCTGTTGCTGGCACCAGTAACCAGGTCAGCAGCAGCGGAAGGGGCAGCAGCAGCAGCAGCTGAAGGGGCATCAGCAGCGGCAGGTGCAGCGGCGGCTGAAGGGGCATCAGCATTGGAAGGAGCGGCAGCAGCAGCAGCAGCGGTAGAAGGGGCAGTAGCAGCGGCAACTCGCACGTGGGCCACAGCAGAAGCAGTGTGACCAGACGCCTGTGGGGTGCAGAGACGCACCATGCGCACCCTGCCAGACAACAACCGCACACACACACACACATGCCGAAGTTGGCGGGGGAGGGGAGGGAGGGAATGTAAAGAGGTGAAGAAGTGGTGGGAAGGGACGCAAGGTGGGGCAGGTGAAGGGATGGTCGGTGACAGGAAAGGCATAGGACCAATCATGGCACATCTCCATCCCTTCAACCACCTCTTTCTCACTCCTCCTTTCACTAAAACCGCCTTAGCGTCACAGAAATATACACACATAAATTCATATTTCTCTTTCACATTACAGCTGCCCAACAACTCCATTTCTCACACGTTGTCCCAGAAACCCCCTATGCTAACCTGCCAGCCTGCTTGAAGATGTCCTCTATCGCAGAGAGGGAGAGGTTGGGCGGGAGGTTGTGCGCGACGACTGTGCGTGCTTGCAGCTCATCGACGTCTGTGAAGGGGAAGGGTTGCTGCCTGCGCACACGCATGCCATCGTCACTCAACACCTGATGGGAGAGGACACAGGAGAGGAGAATATTTTGAGTCGACTAAAAAAGAAGATGACTGTGCGTGCCTGCAGCTCATCCACGTCTGTGAATGGCAGTGGGTGCTTCCTGCGCACGCGCATGCCGTCCTCGCTCAACACCTGATGGGAGAGGACAGAGACGCAGCGCAAAGGAGAGCACTGCACAGTATGGTACGTCACGGCATGGAACGGTAGCACCAGGAAACGGGATCCGAACCTCTCTGAGCCAGTTCTTGATTGTACCTTTCAAACCACGCTACACGAGAAGCCATGGGTGCACGCTTGCAGTCACGGGCATGACAATGAGTGACGGCATAGGCAAAAAAGGGCGGCAGTGGCAGTTGAAAAGGGGCAGCAGTGGCAGAACGAAGCAGCAGGGGCAAGCAGCAGGGAGTGAGGTGAACGAGCAATGAAGGCAGGATTGAAGTGTGAAGGTACGAGGGACTGACCAGGGTAGTGGAGGAGGAGGCTTCACGGATGGCATCGGCAAGCAGTGTAACAATGGAGCCTGGTGCAGTGGACATGCTGGGATGCAGCATGGACCGGACCTCCCTGAACTGTGCCAGGTACCAGAGAGACACTGCCGTGTGGTGCGGGGTAGTGCGATGGGGTGTGGAGCGGTGGGGTGTGGTGCGGTGGGGATGTGGTGTGGGGTTGGAGGAGGAAATGGGAAGGACGGTCCGGAGGCAGTAGCGGGAGGAAATGGCTTGTTATACTAGCTACCACTTACATTGCCAGCCACTCACTCCCACCATAATCCCCTCACTCGCCCATTCACTCCTTCACTCGAGAGAGCATTAACTGAAGCCTAGAGATTTGAATGTCTCCATGGCCATGACATGCTTTAAGTTTTTGGCCAAAGACCAGAGCATCACAATTGGATTCTAGACACTGTAGTGCATAGAAAACGTGGCGTTGCAGCTTGCAACGAGTGTGAGGGGAGAGCAGAGAGCACTGACCGAAGCCTTGGGGGTCGTGGTTGGCCATAGATAGGAGGTGATGGTCGTATGGCATGTTGTCATCGCTGAAATAGAACTCCACCTGCACATGCACATGCACACATGCACACATGCACATGCAGACATGCACACATGCACATGCACACATGCACACATGCACATGCACACATGCACATGCACACATGCACACATGCACATGCACACATGCACATGCACACATGCACACATGCACACATGCACATGCACACATGCACACATGCACACATGCACATGCACACATGCACACATGCACATGCACACATGCACATGCACATGCACACATGCACATGCACACATGCACACATGCACACATGCACATGCACACATGCACACATGCACACATGCACATGCACACATGCACACATGCACACATGCACATGCACACATGCACACATGCACATGCACACATGCACACATGCACATGCACACATGCACATGCACACATGCACACATCCACACATGCACATGCACACATGCACATGCACACATGCACACATGCACACATGCACATGCACACATGCACATGCACACATGCACATGCACACATGCACATGCACACATGCACATGCACACATGCACACATGCACATGCACACATGCACACATGCACACATGCACATGCACACATGCACACATGCACACATGCACACATGCACACATGCACATGCACACATGCACACATGCACACATGCACACATGCACATGCACACATGCACACACGCATGCACATATACATATATGCACACATGCACGCATGAGCGCATGCAGCCAACAGTTTGAAGGTACATACACTACTCCACAGGCTCGGAAGGAGACAATAAAGACGTGCAAAAGCCACACATCACACTCACACGCACAAGCTCGCTCTCTTCCCCTCGCCCATCAACCACACGCTTTGAGACCACACAAACCACTCCCGTCACCCGTCTCCTTCCCTCTCCTTCCATCCCTCCATCCCTCTCTTCCCCCCATCCCTCTCTTCCTCTCCATCTCCCCTTCTCTCACCCTCCCCTCTCGCCCCCATCTCCGCCACTCTCTACCCCCCACCACCGTACCAGTTTCAGCAGCACCTCTTTCACATCCGCCTCTTGCTCCAACGTCGCCTTAGAGCGCCGTACCACGCCCCCTCCGCCTCCGCCTCCCCCTCCGGCTTCCCTCCTCCCCGTTGCGCCTTTCTCCTGCTGCCCCTGCGAATGCCCCTGTCCCTGCGCATGCCCATGCGCGTGCCCACGCGCGTGCCCATGCGGGTGGCCCTGTGGGTGCGCATGCCTTTGCCCGTGTCCGTGCCCTCGCCCTCGCCCATGCCCCTGCCCTTGCACCTGCACATCCATCCACCACCACCCTCAGCAGTCAGTCAGTCAGCCTCCCTCTACTTGCTTACAAGTAGTAAGTCAGTAACACATGGTACACTCTCATTGCACACACACACACACACACACAGCACGGCGCGGCTCACTATACTTGCGCGCAGGATACTTACACGAGCCGTTCCGCCCGCCCCGCCACCACCTGCCATCCCATCCGCGCGTCCCTCTCTCCTTCCGCCGTCCGCTCCGCTTCCCCACATCGCCCCAAGCGCATCCTGCGCGCCCCAACCCCCCCCCGCTTCCCACCCCGCGTCCCCCCACCCTCCGCCAACCCCTTGCGCCAGCGCGTGCGCGGATATTCCTCCGCCATACCCCGCGAACGGCGCACCGGCGACGCCTTGCTGCGCCGTTCCAGGCGTGTTGAACGGCAGTGGAAGCAGCGGCAGGTGCGCCGGCAGCCACGCAACGTCTGCGCCTGCGCCTACGCCCGCGCATGCAAACTGCGGGACGAAGGCGGGAGCGGCGGCGTTAAGCCCGCGGCTACTGCCAGCAGTGGTTAGAGCGGCCGCAGGAGTGCCGACTGACCCGCCAGTCGACTGCTCCTCACCGACAGCGGGAGCGGCGGGAGGGGCGGGAGCAGCGGGGGCGGCGGGAGCAGCGGAGGCAGCGGGAGCAGCAGGAGCAGCAGGAGTGGGAGCAGCGGCAGAGGGTACACCCCCATCAGCGGGAATTTCATCCACACCGGAAGAATCACCCGCGGGGATTTCACCGCCTTCACCCTTTCCCGCAGCACCAGAGTCTTGCGCGGGTGTTTCGACCGGACCTTGGGATTGCCGCGCGAGCTCGGCCGACGGGGACTGCGACCGCGTCTGTGACGACGCCTCCGCCTGCCACGTGGCACCAGCTTCCGCCACTGACGTGGCGGGATCCGCTGTGAATTCCGCCGCCGGAGGAGGCGGGGATTGCGCTAGGCCGTCCGATGGAGTTGCTGACGCCATGGATGGCGAGATCGAGGCGTGCGATTGAGCAACGTCCAACGACGAATCGGCCGAGCTGGCAAGACAGGCAAGAACGGCAAGACTCGCAGAATTGGCAGCGACGGCGGGGCTAGCAGGGATGCAGGGATGGCGAGGGTGACAGAGGCTGAGGCAAAGGCAGTGTTCCCTCCCGCCGTGCCTGCCACTCCTCCCCGCAACCTCCGCTCCGCTCACCCGCGGCAACCTGGTGTGGATCTCAGGAGCAGTAAGCCTGAATCCTGCAGCACCAACGGTGGCTGGGCGGTTGAAAAAAGAGTGTGGTGGGCGGTTGCGACGGAGTGTGCGAAGCGGAAATGTTGCGAAAACATTCGCCGAATGAAATTACAACCTATCTGGATTCGTTTTCGTGTCGCGCAGTGTTTGCATCCTTGCTGAGTGTACACCATACGGTTATGCATGTTATTCATGTATCCTGTTCGAATCACTAGTCAGAAAAACGATTGAATTTGGAGGCGAATAATGCTTTATAATACACTTTACACATACATAGACACACAAAAAAACTATTCCCTAGGTCTACACATTCCCTTGATCAGCACGATACTTGCGAGCTTCTTCATGCACTTCCCACGGAGAAGTCTCCACTGTCTCCTGCCCTCTCTGCCATGCCCGCCGCCCCCCGCGCCGCACACCCTGCCACCTGCGCTGCTCCCCACCGCTGCTACTGCTCTCGCCACTGCTGTGGGAGATGAAGGGGCGCCCATACAGGGGCTCCCTTTGGGGCGGGGAGGAGTCTGTGGTACTGCCGAGCTCACTCACACTGCCGAAGCTGCGCGTGGGGCTCTGCTGCTGCCTCTGCGGCCCCGAGGGGGTTCCTGCACAATTGAAAGAGAGACATGGCATGAAATCACAGAGTTGCATAACATGATGCACATGGCACATGGCATAGCATGGAAAAGACAGGGCAAGCGGCTGATGATCTCACCAGGTGCGGATCGGCGAGCCGTGGGCCATTTCACCCCAGCAGGCGGCCACTCTTCCAGCCCCCCCACAACCCCACCGCTCACCCCCTCTCCCTGCCCCGCCCCGCCGTTCACCCCTGCCGCTCCTGCCCCTTTGAACCCGGTTACTTTGGTGCGCATGGCAGCAGCGAGCACGTCGAAATCCTCTGCCTGGAGCTTGGGTGGCGCTGCTGGTGTGGGGCGCGCGAGCTGCAGCAGCAGGTAGAGCAGAGAAAGGAGCGCCCAGGGGAGCAGAGGCACGCCCACACACAACTGCAGGGGTGATGGTGGGGGTGATAGATTTGGGGGTGAGAATGTGTGGAGGGTAGACAGACTAGAGAGTTGCAGGAAGACAGGAAACTTGACAGGGAACTGACTGGGGGATGAGAGGGAGTTGACAGCACAAGAAAACACTGATCTCCCTCAATCAACCACTAAAATTCCCCTTCTTGGACTCACCCAAAGCGGTTGGCCTAGCAGCATAGCCAGCTGCAGAGCACCCAGAGCAACGTTTGCCGCTCCTCCCAGCAGCAACCCCACTCCCAGCACTCTGTGCAGCAGCATCCACCATGCGTGCCCAGGCGAGCCCGGACTCGGCCGGCACAGCAGTGCACAGATCACCTCAATTACGAGGAAAAGGACAAGCGCGCCGCCCAGGAGCCCGTGCGGGGTGAGAAGGGCGGCGAGACGGTGAGGTGCGGAGGGGGCTATGGAGAGGAGGAGGGCGGCGTTTGTGCGGAAGAAGGAAGCTGCGTGGATGGCGAAGGCGAGTGCAGGTACGAGGAGGAGGGGCGTGAGGAGAGCAGAGAGGACGTGTAGAGGGTGGAAGACAGGGCGGTTGGAGTCGGGGCGTACTGCTAGGAGCCTGGTGGGGGGTGGTGAAAGGGTGGGTTGATGGAGAGGATGCAGGTGTGAGTACGAGCACCACCGAGGGGATCAGGGCACAGAACCAACGAGGTACAGCGCATGGCAGACACAGCAATTTTATTCTCATGACCAGTGGGGAGATCAGTGGGGCACATGCGTGACTGACCGTGCAGCGATGGCGGAGAGAGGGAGGAGGAAGCAGAAGACAAAGGCCATGATGGATGCATGCGCGATGAGCCACGGGAAAGGCGACGCCTGCACCTGCGCCTCCCCTGACGCCCAGTTCAACCACAGCGAACCCCTGGGGGGCAACATGGGAAAGGAGAGAGCGAGAGCAAAGGCGCAAACAACAATTAAGACAACAAAGGATGAGACGTGAGCGGAAACAACAATTAAGTTATGGCGCAAACTAGAAATATGATTCATGCACGGTAGCCGGACGAGGGAAGCAGAGGGGAAAACAGAAGCAGGCGCCGGAGAAACAGTGGTGCAAAAGGAGTGCATGTGTACCTGTGTTGGAGATAGTGGTTGGGCAGGGACGCAGAACCCCCAGAGGAGGAGAAGGCATTGGGAGCAAAGGCCCACACGAGGTGTGAGAGCTCGTCCGCCCCAAGGGAGATATTCGGGGCGCCGTTGCGCTGAGTGTAGGGGCGTGAGAAGGAGAGCAGCGCAGAGCCGTTGACAAGAGTGACTGATGCGTTGGTGAATTCTAAGCGGTTGCTGCTCTGCAGGCCCTGCGCTGTGTGATTCACTAGTATGTATGATCGCACCACTGGGTTCCCTGCTGCGCCTGCTCCTCCACTGGATGCTCCCCCAGCTGCTGCCCCACCCGTTGTCCTCGTCCCCCCTCCCGCTGTTCCTGCTGCTGCTGCGGCTGTTGATGTTGCTGCTGCTGCACGTGAATAGGGAGTCACTCGGCTGACGCCAGCACTGGCTTGGCTGACATCAGCAAGCACCACGTAGCTCCCAAGGGCGGAGAGCTTAGAGGGAGACGAGGAGGAGGGGGAGGGAGTGAAGCCTACAGAGAGCCATCCTTTGCAGTCAGTGACTTGCAGGGCGAGGGAAATGGAGGTGGGGAGGAGGGCCCAATGGAGGGTCACTCTGCACAGGCAGAGGAAGGGAAGAGAGCGTGGGATGGAGAGGGGCGACCAATTGGCCAGTCAGACGGTCAAAGAAAGCGGAGTTTGACTTTGGCAGACTATGGGAAAGAGGTGGGACAGCGAAGAAGAGAGTGTGTGGTGCGCCTACAGAGAGCCATCCTTTGCAGTCAGTGACTTGCAGGGCGAGGGAAATGGAGGTGGGGAGGAGGGCCCAATGGAGGGTCACTCTGCACAGGCAGAGGAAGGGAAGAGAGCGTGGGATGGAGAGGGGCGACCAATTGGCCAGTCAGACGGTCAAAGAAAGCGGAGTTTGACTTTGGCAGACTATGGGAAAGAGGTGGGACAGCGAAGAAGAGAGTGTGTGGTGCGACGACGGGGAAGTGGTGGTGAAGTGCGTGGTACGTGGGGTTGAGGAGAGCACAAGGCATGATGAGTGGAGAGTAAGTTCAACAACAGACTGCTGCTGCATGATGGGAAAGTGGGGTCTTACCGATCGCCTTGCAGGGCGAGGGAACAGGAGAAGCCAGGCAGGGGCGAGGGTGTGCAGAGGCAGGAGTTGAGGGGGTCGGAGCCGAGAAAGAGGTTGATGCGCGGGAATGACCCCCGGCTGCTGCTGCTGCCCCCATGGTACTTGAGCTCGTCCGCCCTGCACATGGGGAATGGGGTAGATCAGATGGAGAACGAGATGCAGGATCTACCAAGGAGGAAGGAGGGGACATGCAAGAGAATTCTTTGCAGGGTGGAAGGCAGGTAATGCATGAAAGCAGGGGCATCAGGGGTGGCAGTGGCAGAATGGGGCAGTACGTGACCCCGGCGTACCTGTAGAACGCAGCAATCTGCTGCTGCACGAGGGGAGGCAGCGAGGCAGAGGCGGAGGAGGAGGGGAAGGGCGAGGAGGGGAGGGTGGAGAGGGTCTGGGTAGCAGAAGCGGAAGCGGAAGCGGATGAGAGGAGGGGTCCCGTGGAAGGGAGGGCAGGCGAGGGTTGACCGAGGGCCCAGACGAGGGTGAAGTCATTATCAGTGATGGCATGGTCAAACGCTGCATGGTGGGGCCAGATGCGGGAAGAAAAGGGGGGTACGCGAAAGGATTCTTGAAAAAGCGAGCATACCACATCCACAATCACTCATCAGCAGTCGCAGTGGTAGTAGACAGGCGGGGTGAATGAAGCATGGAGAGCGAGAGAGTGAGCTCACTCACAATCATCGGAAGGTAACAGGGGGCGTCTGAATTTGACATATGTGGTGCCAGAGGCAGCGTCTTCGTGGGCAGTAGCAGCAGTAATGTCGTCTGTACCGCCCATTGCTGTGTCTGCTATGGGCATCCCATGGGTGGAAAACGTCCATGCATCCTGTTGAGTGGGGGAGGGGAGGGGCAGGAGGAGAGAGAGGTTGAAGGACGGACGAGAGATGGGGTTGACGGTTGGTACTGAAACAAGAAAGAGTGAAACATTGCTGGCATGACTCTTGAGGCGCCTCAAAACACGAACACACCTGGATGCGGTAGTAGCCCCCTCGGGCTGTAACGATGGTCATATCCTGCTGGAACATTGCCGGCATGGCCCTTAAAGCGCCTCATAACACATACCTGGATGCGGTAGTAACCCCCTCGGGCTGTAACGATGGTCATATCCTGCTGGAACATAGCTGGCATGACCCCTGCTGACGCCTCCCGCACTGGTACCCTGTGCTGCCTCTCCATCACAATTGATGGCGGCGGAGAGGGAGGAGGCGTGGCAGCAGCGGTGGTTCGAGTGAGGGGTGAAGAGGAGGGCGAGGTGGAAGAGGAGGAGGAGAGAGAAGTGGTGGATCTGGGACGAACGGTTGTAGCAGTGGGTTGTGCCGTTGTAGCAGCAGGCCGTGCACTTGTAGCAGCAGGTTGTGCAGTTGCTGCAGTGGCGCCTGCTGCTACAGCCGGAACAGCCACCGCATCAGTCTCCCTCGTCTCTCGTCCCCTCACACCACGAGCATTTGAGCCGCTGCCATCTGCTGCAGTGTCACTGCTTGCTGCATCAGCCTCTGCTGCATTGTCGCCTGCCCTGTTGCTGCTGCTTCCACTCCTGCGCCTACTGCTGGCACTCTCACGCCCACTGAAGTCCCCGGAATCTGATTGCGATTCGGTTTGTGATTCGGAGCTTGAATCAGGCCCTCGCCCCTGTCCTGACCTTCCTTCCCTCCCCTCCTGTGGCTCTCTGTTCCGCTCTCTCCTGCCTCCCCCACCCTGCCTCTCTTCACCTGCACCGCCCCCACCTCTCCTCTCACTCCTCGTACCTCCCCCAACCCTCCTCCCCTCATCCTGACTCCCCCCATCCCTCCTCTCCTCCCCCCTGCCTCTCCTCCCTTCTCCAGTACCTCCTCCACCCCTCCTCTCCTCCCGAGGGGGAGATCGGCGGTTACGACGGCTAGTGGGGGTGCGAAGAGGAGTAGGAGGAGGGAGAGCGGGGGGAGGAGGAGGCGAAGGGCGGGGAACAGGGGGCGGCGGGGAAGGGGAGGGCGGAGGAGGGGAAGGAGGGGACGGGGGGAAAGGCGTGGCGCGGGAGGGGTTGATGTTGGGAGGTGGGACCCAGGGGAGGTTGGCCGGGCGCCAGCCAATGGCGACGTAGCTGGTGGTGGGTGCTGCAATGGCCACTTCAATCTGAAGTGAAGTTGTATTGTATGCGCGGGTAAGGAGGGACGGTGGGGATGCAGAAGAGGGGGGAGGGCGGAATTAGCACGTGTGATGGTTGGTAGGTAGAGACAATGGCAGGCAACACTCTAACCACCTACCCAAGGGGAAAAAAAAGCACATACAGAAACCGGGGGGAATGCCTATTTTGGACAGTAGCAGAAGGACTGTCAAGGTAATATACAAAGCACATACTCACAGCTGCTGAAAGCACACACCTGCGGTCCAAAGGAGGCGAGGTTGGATTCCCCAGGCAGTGACGCATCAGGGGCATCATCCTTGAGAATCTTCCACCATATCGTCATGTACCGCACTCCACCGCCTGCAACCGCGCCGTCACCAGCAGCAGCAGCAGCACCGCCAATACCAGCAGAAGCGGCAGAGATGGAAGGTGTCATAAGGCCGCCAGCAGTCGCGTTTGTGATTGTGTTGATAGTGGTGGCGGTGGTGGTGATGGGGATGGTGAGGTTGAATGGATACTCTTTCCACCAGGAAGAGGTGTCCACTGCTGCATCAAGAGACAGCGGCGAGCGCTGTGCGCACTGCGGCCCCATCCACCCCTCCGCACAGAAGCACTGCCTGCTTAGGGTTTAGGGTGGAGAGAAAAAGAGATTGCTGACAGAGATGAGGACGAGAGGTGAAAGGGCATGGGGTGAAAACGGACCGACGTAAAAGGGAGATTACAGAAAACGGCGAGGAGGAGAGAGAGGAAGGGGGAGGTGTCACAGAGAGGAGGAGGGAGGAAGGGTGGTAAGGGAAGAAGGTAAAGGTTGAAGTTGACCTTGTGGGGGAGTTGGAGGAGAGGATGTCGATGCACTTGGCATTCACACCGCAGTCACTGTCCACCATGCACTCGTCCTTGCGCTCACAGTACGACCCTGACAGATGCAGCTGCCGCATGGGAATGCATGTAGTGGGGACGAGCGAGGGTGGAAGGCCGGATACTGAGTCTTATAGTCAGTGGCATGCATACAACAAGACACAGTTGGTGGTGCATCGAGACAAAAAGCCGACAGTCTGGGATTCGGACGTAGGAAATACGACGTGCAGCAGAATCGAGGATGGGAAAGGGCACGAGCATGACGGAAGCAAAAGCATAAACTGGTCGACGGAAGGGTGAGGCGGGGGGTGGGGACAGTGAGGCAGACAGGCCACTTGAGCAAGGCACTTGACTGACTTGGACCCCTACTATCCCCAGCAAGGTGTTGAGAAGAGCTACCTGAGCGGGGCAGGCGCACTGCCAGGAGTCAGAGAGGGGCGAGAGGGCGCAGGGGGCGATGCCTCCGCTGCAGCCGTGGCATGCATTGGAGCCTGCTGTCACCACTGTGACATCCGCACAGCTCCACCGCACGTACGGCTCTTCTGCTGCTGCTAGCGCCTGGTTGGGATGGGGAGGTGGTAATGAGAGGGAGAGCAGGGCGAGACGGCGAAGTGGAGGATATGAAGACGGGTGAGAAAAGGCAGACGGGCATGGGAGGATAGAAGGCGATGAGGGAGTCTGGGTCCGACGAAGGAAGGTCGAGGGCAGGGTATTACACACGAGCGGAGAGAGAGCGAGGGAGAAAGGGAGTAAGAGGGAGGGAGAAGCGGGGGAAGGGGTGTGGGAGTGCGGATTTGTGGGAGCAGCCGAGGGAGCTGAAACAAAATCACAGGGAGCACCTGATGCGAAAGGTTGTCTTGATAGAGAAATCTCACAACTCCAACTAGCGACGAACGGAGCCCAGGCATGGGACAGAAGCAAGGAGGGGCACCTGATGTGTGAGGCGGAGTGTGCAGCCGAAGCAGGGAGCAGCAGGGAGAGTGACCATCGCCCACTGAGCCGTGGGATTGGCCATTATGCCCCATGACGCTGCCGTCTCGTTTGTCAGCGCGGTAACCGCGTAACGCTGCAGCACCTTGCCGTCGACTCCCTCCACCACCAGGATCCGCTGCTCCCATGGGAACAGCTGGGAGTGAGCGCTGAGAGAGACACGCGGGAAGAGAGGAAAACGGCGAGGCGAGGAATTGCAAACAAAGGTCCGTTTGGTTTGGGGTGAATAAAAGCTCATATAACTCATGCAGGAGAGGGAGCTGTTTTGTAGGATCTAGTCTGGTGGAGGCAGCTATGTATGCATGCAGCGGCTCCCTCGCCCACTCAATTGACTCCACCCACTCACCCCAGCAGTCGCAGCAGCTCCACTTTGAACCCGCCGGCTGTCGCCAACGCCAGGCTCCACGTCACGTTCAGGCCCGCGCCAGCTGTCAGTGACGTCAGCGGGCTGCGCGGCCCGCGCTGCACGCCACATGGCGGCTGGTAGAGCCGCGAGTCCACGTCATCGTTCAGGTCCCGCGCGGGGGGGAAGGTGAGGCGGAAGGCGGAGGCGGGGGGCGGGAAGAGGCAGAGCGCGGGGAGCAGGCAGAGGAGGACGAGCGGAAGCAGCGCGGGTGCGGGAGGAGAGGCGGAGGGACGGGGATGGGCGCGCGCGTGTGGATGCGGGTGAGAAGCTGCTAACGATGTCTGGACTTTAGGAGCAAATGACGAGTGCGCTACTAGCGCGCGCGGTGAGGCACTCTCGCCTTCTGAACGACTCATTCCGACCCCATTCTCGCCATAATAGCTCACAAGCCGCACCGCGGAAGAGCCACAGACGGCAACCGTAAAGCCAGCCGGTAACAAACGGGCAGATTCGGAGCGGCAAGAGCAGCAATAGACACCGCTATCGCTATGGCTCTCCGCGCATGCCGCACGCGAGCCTGCTAGGCTCATTCTGGTGCGACCTGCAGCGGATCGAAGCGACCCCGCGGCTGCAGCCATGGCGGCAGCAGGAGGGCCTCTTGAGCCCCACGAACAGCCGAGCAGCAGCGAACGTCCCCCGCAGAGAAGGACAAGATGGGTTCTGCGGAATTCCCAGCAACGAATGCTTGTCGTTGCGTGGCTGGTGCCGAGCGACTAGAGTGGTGGAGTCGAATAGAGTTGTACGGAGACGAGCGTAAGACGAAGGATGTCTGACAACAGCTCCTTACTGGCCTATGTAAGAGCGAGTGGCCTGCGATGAGACGGAGCCGAGAATGAAGGTTATCTGGTATACGCCAGGCGCGATTGCGCTTCACTAGCCAGCCGCGTGCACGCTGAGAGAGACACATGCGACTTGCCAGGGATCGGCTTAAATTTGCCATACTAGAAGACTAATGGGAACGTAATAGAGAGAACCGTACGGTTTTCGATCGGAGCCAACGAGAGGCAACAAGACTGGTTGATTGCGATAGAGCGGAGAATGAGAAAGGGATTCGAGGAACTGAGACAGGGGATCGAGAACTGAACAAGGAACCTCGAGTATTGAGAATGGAGGACGAGTGATGAAAGCGATTGAGTGAGCTGGGGGAAGGCGAATTGAGAGGGTAGCAAGAGGAAGTACTGTACAGTATCGTACAGTTTCGAGTCGAGACGCGAATGGCAATCTTGATGGTTTGGCTGTGAAAGAGGGTAAATACAGCTATGCAAGCGAATTCGATACCGCGATAGACAAACACAGTGTACATGAACATTTCACGTTACTGTAAACCACAATACATGATATGCTATTTACGTTCCTCAATCAAAGGAGGAAATTATTTGGCTGTGGTATGAAATAAACAAGCAGGCACTATGCATGAAGGGGACAATTTAATGGGGTATTCTGAATGACACCCTGAGAATACAAACGTTTTCAGAAACCCTGGTACTGTCACAAATGTTCGGGTACACGCGGCCGTGCCTGAACTTCTGCACAGCACACATCATGCAAGTTCTCCTTCAGACCCTCCCAGGTCCTCTGGTGGGTGACGGATGGCGTCGCCTCGCCTTGCTGATATCGGATATACTCCTTAGTGGTCACATCTGCCACGTACAGCACAAAAAACATACTATAGCAGTGAAATGAACGACACTATGCTGAATAATAAAATCTATTTGTATGTGCAGACAAATACATGAGATGGCACCGTGCTGACATGCGGATGAGTAAAAAGACAAAGTCAGGGAGCGTTACCGCAAACGAGGATGGCGCAGTGGAGCAGAGCAAAGACAACCAGGCATGCACCATACAAGGAGAGCGGCAGCAGCACCAGTAGCACGTACATCTGCCATGGCTGGCCTTCCAGGCCCCTGCAGGGAACAGGCATGGCGCGAGGCAGAGAGGAGAGATGAGAGCGGAGCTGGAAAGGGGAGGGGGAGTGAGTTATGTGCGAGAGAATGGATGGGAGACTTGAGAGAGCAATACGATGGTGAATGGTATGATGGGGAATGCGAGGGAACAATGTCAATGGGGCTTATAAATAAATTCAATGTGCTGAATGGTGCCCCTTATACCTGGACCAATCTACTGATGCCAGCTGTAAGCAGATTGACACAATGACTGCTGTGGCGGCCTGTTGAGTAGCAATGTGGGGATGCAAGGCAACAGTGGGGTAAGATGTGAGAGGGAGAAAAAGAACAGCGTATAAGAAGAGGAACAGGACATCTGAAAAACTGAATGATTGATTTCGTGTGGTGCCATGGAAACCAACTCATCTGAGCAGGGAAGAAGACGAGACATGGATAACTAAATGAGAAAATCTGCGTGGACGGAAGCCAAGCCAGTGCACGCTGTGCGTGCGCACATGAAATGAAAGACGTGGCAGTGGTTAATAAGGAGGCGTGAGATGAGTGAGCAAGGTGATGGGCAGGTTGAGGTACAAGGGTTGAGGGGAAAGGGTGAGGTGAGGTAAAGGAGCCAGGTGGGGTTGATGGGCAAGGCGAGGCAGTACGAGGGAGGAGGCGAGAAGGAAGGCGATGAAGAAGCGGTGGTTGCGGCGCGCAATGCATGTGCCCAGGGCGTCACAGTGGTGGTCCAACCGCTGCTCAAGGGGGTGATACACAGGTTTGATGCACAAGGGGGTGCACGCGGCGAGGCATGGGTTTAATGACAGGGAGAGGGTATGGGGAGGAAAGAAATGGTTTGGGAAGGCGAGATGCAGGTAGGAAGGGAGGCATTGAACCGAGTACGAAAGCTGATGTGGAGCCAAGTGCTAAAGAATAAGGTTGGAGTGAGAGGGAGGAGGGGGCAGAAGTGGGCAGAAACGGGCAGGAAGAAATGAGGTGCAGCCGCATGCTGATTGAAGGTCCCAACGACCCATGCATGAAACGCACTCACCTCCATGCAGCTCCCACACTCAGAGCAATGGCTCGTCCTTGGTCCCTTCCACACATGGCAGGTAATGCAGTACCGCTGTGTCTCCACCTCCTCTACCACTTCCTGCCCTCCTCCCCCTTTCTCTTCCGCTCCCCCCTCCGCTGGTTCCCCCTCCCTCTCCGCGCCCCCCTTTCCCTCGACAGGAAGGCCCATTTCTTCGTCGGTTGCGCCCAAGGGGGAAGTTCCGCGCTCCGCGGGGTGGGCGCCTGCGTGGCGGTTGCGCGGAAGCGCTTGGCGCGCAATGAGCTTGGCGCGCACCCACTGGCCCGAGGAGTCGCGCAACAGCTCGGGAGACACGTCCCCCATCTCCGCGCGCACCACCACGGGGTCTAGGGAGGCGGGGGAAGGGCAGGGGGAAGACCGGCGCAAGATTGGGGGAGATCGGGGGGAGGTCAGGAAAGGGGACAAGGGGAGAGTGTGAGGCACACAGGCGAGACATGGAGGCGGTTGGCGCGCAGTCGGGCTAGCCGTGATTCACGGCGTGTAGCGCGGATCTCTTTTTGCTCAGTTTACCTCCGTTAGATACACCAATCGTAGCGGTATTTCACCTGGAGCTGCGGAGGGCGGTACGATTCCCGGGTCGACGTATCGGATGGCTAGCAGCAGCGCGAGCGACGCGACGGCGAAGACGACGGTGGTGGCGACGAGCAAGTATCGCACAGTGTCGTTGGGAAGCTGCCCGTCGGCACTGAGTCAAGGAGAGCGAGAGAGGGGGAACCGAGGGGAGAGACGTGGATATTGCTTGCTTGGTGGTGGGAGACAGGTTAAAAGACCGAAACCGGGGAAGTGAAACGGGAGAAGCATCTTTCTCGATATTGCTTTCTACGACGCATAATGTCGTGAAACAGCAGTTACGACCGACATTGCGACATATAGTCTTCGCGTGAGATGAGAATGCGAAACCCTTCAACTACTAGGCCACCTATCCCCCACTCCTCCACTCTCCCAAATAAATCGCTACGAGTCACACGTGAGGTACGCGCCGAGCGCGGCGATGACGACGATGAGAAGCGCGATGCTCCAGAACATGCACGCGCCGCTCCATGACTGCCTTTCCCCGCGCCTCCTCCCGCGTCGCCCCTCCTCGCTGCGCAACAGTCCCCCGCTTCCCGAACCCCCGCCGTTTCGCGCCGCCCCGGCGCTTCCCGTCGCCCCGCTGCTCTCCGCCTCCCCCGCTCTGGCCATGGGTTCCCCGCTTCCCGGGAGTGATATCTCCGGCTGTGAGGCAACGGTACTGCTACCGTCTGCGCCAATCATGGCCGTCAGGTTGCCGTCAGCTGTAGCAGTACTAGTAGCTGTAGCAGCAGAAGTCATTGTGACAATGGGTGTATTTGCAGCATCAGCAGTGTCAACGGTGACGCTGCTAGTGATGATGGCAGCGGGTCGACCTTCCACAGAGGCGGGACGAGCAGATTCTTCAATAGTATCCTCACACGTGACGCCATTGCCGACGTACGGGGTCGGTCCTTGGGTGACCGGACTCGATTGCGCTTTCATCTCCGCTAGTACCTCTGATTCAGGCACTCGTTTCGCTGTCCACTCTTCCACCGCCTCACCTCCACTCGCTTTCTCGCTCTCTATGTATTTCTCCCCAGGGAAGTTCGCATCTCGCCCATCCCTTCGCTCCTTTCTCTTCTCCCATCGGTCTGTTCCGTCAGTGTCAATCGCGACCCTCGCTCCCTCATTCCCTCTCGTCTCTAACCCGCTGGCTCCCGTTGGGGCATCGCTTTTACTCTCCTCATCCCTCCCTTGGCCTTCCTCGTTCCCCTTGTCCCTGAATTCTCCACCCTTCATTGTCTTCTTAGATTTCCCTTTTCTTCCCACGGTTCTCGGTTCTCTCTCCTCGATCTCAACCTCTTGTAGCTCTTCAGACATTCCCTCTTCCGTCTCGCTTAGCCTTGCCTCTCCCAGTGCCAGTCCCCCACGTGCGATACGCTTACACTGAATATCCCTCTAGCGAGGAGTGGCACACTGCGATACAGGAGTAAGAAATAAAGAAGTCCGCATTCGGGAACATATATATCCTGGGTTAAGCCACAGAACTAAAGCGTGCGGACGTTTTCTTTACAAAATGAAACGTTTTTTGCTAACACACATGACTACGTCAGCTCGAGAACCATGAGATGCTAAGAGCAGCCCAGCGAACCCATCTATACCTAATATTTTTTATACTCGTGCATTACGCCTCCGGTTCCATGAGACGGGATCATATGTAGGGCCAACCTAATAGGCTGCCAAAAAGTGGGTGAATTATGAGCGGAGTGGTAAAGAGGGCTCTAAATTCTACGATGGCGGAAAAGGCGGACCACCTTTGAGGGAAGGAGGTCAGGCGGGTGGGTGCTGCACAACCAGAAATTTCATGTTGCGACGAAATGTTGATTCTACTCAACTGGGATGCGACAGCAGGATGGTGGTGGAAGTACGAGGCGACTGAAATTGGTGTGGTGATTGGTTAACGAACGCATTATTTGCAGACTGAACGACTTGACGATTCTCGCGTCAAATTCGCCACGTGTAGCTGCCAGTCGCCCTCCATTCAGTGAGAAGGGAACGCGATCATGCGGTGCGACGTTCCAGATGCGAGGCGCGTTGACGCCAATAATTGTGGGTTTTGCTGGCTAAAAGAAAAGTGGGCAAATAGATACACTAACGGTAAATGATTCATATTGAGTTCAAGCAAACTTTATCTCATTACATCTCCATCCAGCATAGGGAATGGGTAGCACATTGTGCATTCTAAACCTCAGCTGGCTCAGAAAAGATGATTTCACATTAACTCAAGGCACTCGCAAGGACAGCAAGGCAAAGAATGGAGGAGCACTTCCTAGGCATCAGGCGTGAGAACTATTGTGTCATGCAAGCAAGATCTCACTAACCTATGCCTCAAATGCAAAGCATGTACAAAGATAGCAACCGATGAGGCACCAAAAATCTGCCAGAAAAATAACACATCCTGAAAATACGGGGAAGAAAGACGACGACAGTACGCTGATTCATTACTCGTGAAACCGTTTATTATCCAGGTTTGCGGTGGGGGTCACGGGCGAGATGTGGTGGAGGCAGCGCGGTGGCGATGGTGTCGATCCATGGCTGCCTGATGGTGGTCGCTGCTGCCCTCAGCTTCCTGCACTTGAGCCACACACCGCTTCATGCTATGTGCATGCGATGCTGCAGCTGGCACAACCAGAATGCCCGACCCTGAATCTGATTGCTGCTGTTGCTGCATGTCTTTCTGGTGCTGCTGGTGCTGCCTCTGTTGCTGCTGCAACTGCTCCTGGTGAAGCTGCTGCTTCTCAATGCGTTGTTGCTGCAGCAATCTCTTTCTGTCAACCATCTGTCGGAAAGAAAAAAAACAAGAAACAACCATTCCAGGGCAAAATATGTTGCTTAGAAATTTGAGTCCAAGAGAGCAGAAGGACAGAGAACCTCCACTCATCACTTTCTAGCCACCACCCTCCAGTCGCACCCTCCAACTCCCTCCATACACCCACCCACTTCCACACCCAAACCCACAACCTCCCCATCCCCTTTCCCTTCCCCCTCGCCCTCCACGCCCCAAACCTCCTCCCACACACCATGGGCCCTCGGTAATTTCCACGGCGCACAACAAAGCTGTCAGGAGGCTGAAACTCCTCCAGCCACCCATACTCCACACCCTCCTTCAGCCCCTCAGTGCTCTCCAACGCCGGGAAGCTCGCAGGCGCGAGCTCTCTAAAGTACGTGCAGTGGCGGCCTGCATCCGCGTTATAAGGTGGCGCGAGCACGTCGAGGACGGCGCAGGGGGAGAGTGCGGTGAAGGAGTGGATGTTGCCGCCGCTGGTGGGGAAGAGGATGTCTGGCGGGCACGGCGCTGCTACCACCTGATCTTCCACTAGCTCTGCCAGGCGCGCTGGTGGGGCAGCAGGGATGGATCATGGGCGGGACCGCAGAGGGGTGGGGGAGAATGTAGAAGGGGGGAAGGAAAGTGGAGGTTCTGAAAGGGGAAAGAGGGGGGGAAATGTGAGAAAGTGGAGGGCTGGGGGAGGAAGAAGGTAGAGCGGGAAGGAAAGTGAAGGTTCTGAAAGAGGAGTGTGGATGAAGAGACGGTGGGGGAGAGGGAGGGCATGGAGGCTGAAATGGAAGCAAGGAAAGAGCAGGGGAGGAGCAGGGGAGGGAGAGGGGCGGAAAAGAGAGAATGTGTAAGGTGAAGAGATGGGGGGGAAGAGAGAGAGGAGGGGGGAGGGGGTGTGGGAGAGAGAGCATTACGTTGGTAAGGGTCGGTGGAGGGTTCAGTGGGAAAAGCCCAGTCAAACGATCGCACGTGCATGCACCCGAACAGCAGCTTCGAGAGCACCGTCATGCCCGGGTGGTTGTGCAGGGGTATGGTTGCGGACGCTGGGATGCAGAAGATTCCGATCTGGACGGAGGGACGAGGGAGAAGCACGAAATAGGAAAAGGGAGAGTGAGAGTGGGGAGAGGGAGAAGGAAGAAGAGTACATACACGGAGCTATGGAGGAGTTTTATGGAGAAAAAAAAAATGTAAGTGCACGAGTAATAGGCGACGCAGCTGCTTGTTAAGAATCTACTCACAGAAAAGTCATCGCACTCGTATAGGTGCAGGTACGTGATTGGCGGAGAGCATTTCGGAGCAGCAGCTGCGCCACCGCGTGTTGCCTCCCCGCCTCCTCTCGCGCTTCCGCCCGCCGGGTTCCGCCCATCAGCGGAAATTCCAGCTCCGCTGCAGTTCCGCCCATCCGCGGAACTCCCAACCCCGCTGCCGTTCCGCTCGTTCGCACCGCTGCGTGCCTCCGCGCCGTCGCCTTGCGCGGAGCGCCCGACTGCCGCAGCCGTGGCGGCGTGGTTTGCGGCGTAATTCGCAGCGTTGCGATTCTCGCAGCAAGCAGCGACCTCGTCAAGTCCAACGTCGGCAGCCTCGATGGACTCTGCGATTGAGATTTATTTAAGAATGAGTTTATGGTTCAGTCAACGGGGTGGGTGAGAAAGATGGGGGACGGGAGCGAGGGATAGAGAGGAAGCGAGGAATAAGTCGCAAAGAGAGGAGGTGCGGGTCGAAGAAGCGCAAACGACGAGAAATCCAAGAAGAAACGCGATCAAGTCCAAATGCGAGAATTCCAAATCTATCCATGGACACAAATCATTTACTTCTCGAGAATTCTTAAAACTGTCCCCAATTTCGCCGTACACTCGACTCAAAGACTCTCCCTTCGCAATTGCGAGGCGAATCAGACGAGAAGCGGCTCAATTGCGAAACTCAAGCCTGAATAAGGTCGCACACAGCAGCCACGCACCTAGGATATCGCGAACCCGCTGGAGCGGTTGGCGAGACGGTACGGAGCCGGCATGGGAGGAGAAGGCCGCTTTGCACGCGTCGTAGAGCTTCTGCACCTTGAGCATGGGCATGGCGGACGCGCTTTCTGTGGTACCACTCCTCTGCTCCCCCCTTTGTGGGAATTTACAGTCGTGTTGTACTTCCGCCGGCGGTTGGCCTCGCTTCGTGTAACGTTGACTTCGCTGAAGAAGATAAGGGCTGAAAGGCCGACAGCTCGTTGCAGGGTACGACGCGGATCCGCCCGCTTCGTCCGGAATTGGGTACAATTGAATTGTTTATTGCTAGCGGAGTCTAGAGGGAACAGGGGGACTAATTGGGTGAACGCGAGAAGCAATTGACCGCCCGTACATTCGGAATTGCCACGCACAATCGTTTAGAGAGGAAACGCGTAGCCTGTTTGTCGAAACTACTCAAGTGAGGTGAGAGAACACTACGAAACCATATAAAGATCTGGCAATGCGATAGACGCCATTTCACCAGATAGGAACACGCGTAAGGAGAAGGAGGACAGGATACACCACACCACCTGGCTTCTGTCTCTATATTCCTGTGAAGCTTTCGTTCTAACAATCGTGCTCCTACTCAATCCAGCATCTACGAGTGGGATGCGCTAGACTAGATGCGAAGCTGGTCTCTAAACGATCGGGATGCGTCAGTATCAAGGTTGCTGTCTTGGGAGTGTGTGAGCATCAAAGCTGCAAGGGCGAGGGACCAGGGTCCAGGATGAGGGGAGGAGGATGAAGGCGAGGACGGGTTGGGGTTGGGGGCAAAATTGATGACAAGGGAATGAAGCATGCAGACAGCAATGGAGGGGATTGAACAACACGATGAGTCAGAAATGAAATGAGCTGAGCACATCGACTGGGCAGAATTGAAATGTTTGTGAGGGGAGGAAGAGACGCGGGGCAAGCGGAGCTGATGTGTGCACAGTTTGTGGCGATGTGCTGGTGTTGGCTTTTTGGTTCGAGCCGGATGAAGCTGGTGGTGGTGGTTGGATGTCCGCGGGAAGCACCAGCAGCTCGGACCGCCTGCCGCCAACAAGGGAGGGAACTTTTCATCTTTGGTGGATGATCAGGGTAGTCTTCCGCGACTTGGCGTAGTTGGAGGGATAATTGCATGCCCTCATAAAGACCCGTGTCCACTTGCTCGCCACGCGATGGCTGTACCTGGACACCCGTAGAGAATTCTTACGTCCCAGTCATTTGCTAAAAACCCATCCCATCTCCTGCTGCCAACCGTGCGCAGCAGCTGCTGCTGAAAAGAATGCTGCTGCTTTTTGCCTGTAGCTCTTCTTGTTGAAATACAGGGTGAGAATGAGCAGAAGTGTCGAGGCATTACACGTGCGATTTGTGATGGGGCAATGGAGCCATATTTGTTTCTATGCAAATCGCGTTTACCCGCCCCAATCGCTCTCGGAAATCTTGTGCAAGGGTGTAGCAAAGATGCATTTCGACATATTTTTGCTACAGTTCAATGTTCAGGAGTTGCAAATCCTGGGTTTGTAAATGGAATGCTGCCTAAATGGAACGTCTGCTGGATGATGGCTCCTGCGCTGGGACAGAAAAGAAACAAACAATGCAGTCAAAGGGATTCGGCCATCGTGCGCTGGAGGAGAGCACCAATGGAGACCTATCCCAGCTTCAACACATCTTCTGATTTGTGAAACGGGTTCCAACGAAGCAAACGGAATGATTAGCTCCCCCAACCCAGAGGTTGCTGTTGGTCTTGGTTCGTCATCATCAAGTGGCCTCCACTCTTTTGGGGCAGGAGACTACAGTGATGGGACCGACGCATCAGCAAAGCAGAGCGTAACATCATAAGCTGCCATCATATAGTACACATATACATATATATATATCTACAAGAAGTTACTAAGGCATGACCCAATAAATGGTAATTTATCTTTAAATTCCTAATTTATGTTATTTTTTTGTTTTCATTTCATCATTTTCACGTATTCGTCTATTTCTCGCATGTGAACTTTGCTTGTGTTTTAAAATGCTACTTAGTCGTCGATAGGTTCTAAACGAGTATCAAAACACGCTTACACCATGGTTCAGCATACAGCCGCAAAATGCATTCGGCAGAACAAGGAAACCCACGTTACGTTCCTTGATTGGTCCAATTGGTTTCCGCAGACTTTGGGAGGGACCTTCTGCAGCACCATTGATTTCCCCCGCTTAGATTGCCGCTGGCGGCGCAACGTGGCTTAGGAAATTGTCCCTGTAAAGCGGTTCTGTACGTGTTGAAGCTTCTATGTATGGTTAATGAGGCATTGCAGTGCGGTTCTAGTACACACCAACAGCAGGCTTTCAATTTTTGTCAATACAGCGCAGATTGCTTCTGATACTTTTTGGAAACCTAGATTGCTTCACGCAGCGCCATTGGCTGAAAATCCTAGACCCTTGCTCCCCACCCCAACCCTCTGCTGCTCCCTTCACTCCCTCCTGTCCTGTCATCATCTGACTCGTTTTCAACTCATTTCTCGGTTCTGTTGAGGTTGAGGAATGCAGCCAAAATTGCATGGGACATCCGTACCGAACAACCTCACACACACCAGTGAGCTGCAATTTCAATCCCATCCCATCACTACAGCACTTGGCTTATCACGCCAAAACTAGAGACCTCAGACCAAATGCCAGTTCAGCCGCACTATACGGAACTGGTGCCACTGCGCTCCAATACTTGACCCGCCCGCCTGTATTCTCAAGCTCTTTCAATAGGACAGCCTGCTCCAGTTCCGCTCGTCGTGAGCCTGCTTTCAACAACTGGATTATCCCAATGCGTTGTCTTTAGCCTGTGTCATCCCATCCCACGCATAGTTTCGAGGTCGGCTTATCTAAGCCTGTTAATTCCATGGCGGTCATTACTAGGCCCCACGGTCTGCCTCCTCCATTGTCTCGGATTCCAACAGCTCTAAGCCGTAGCTCTCACTATTCCTGCGTCAGGTCCTTGGCGCCTGCTTTTAGCCAATCCCTGTTACTGCCTTGCCCTTCTCCCGAACCCCGGCCTGGTGATGTCCTCTCGCACCGTCGTCTATTACTTTTCAAAAACGAATCTCGCTTAAGACGATGTCGCGCAACGACAAACGAAATATTTGCTCCTGAAGATCGTAGAGTGCAGTTCCCTCGATCATTGTCATCATCCCATAGGACCGTCATTCGAAGAAACGAAGGATGTGCGCTTCCAGGAGTGGAAGGTCTGCCAAGGAGCGGGATTACCCGCGAAGCTTCCGCATTCACTACTTTAACTGTGTCGACTGATTCAAAGGCGACGTCGAGCAGTCCCTCCCACCCTTCGTTCGTACCTCTGCGGCGTCGCACGCAATCGCACGCAATATCGCAGGTCAGACCAAGCTCTACAGCAGCCGCTACAGCCGTCTCTACGGTAGGCACAGCTAACCATTTACGACGGCACAGACGGGTTCGCACGCAGTCGCACGGGCCTCAGCGATCATGTCCTCTGGCTGACACGTCAGCAGCTTCAACATTTAGCAATAACATTCCCCATTTAGGTTTTTCCAGCAGGCGAAGTTGCAGAATAAGGTGGGGAGAAGGGATTGGAGCCGAGGCGCTGAGAGAGTGCGGAAGGGGGTGCAATGGTTTTGAAAATTCGGGGCTGAATTGCGGCAGCGGTGCTAATCGAAATGTGTCGGGCCGTAGAGGACGCAGTAGCAGCGTCGTGTGTCGAACCATCAGTAGAGTTTGCGAGGACAGCGGAGGCAGCGGCGGCAGTAGTGCGAGAAGCAACGACAGCAGCATGGATAGTGGCAGCAGCTTCAGGCCGGGTACAGATAGTGGCAACGATGGTCATGAGGAGAGAGGGATGGATGATTGCGGTGGTGCAATCATGGAGCTTGATGAGTTAGAGGAGACAGAGGAGTTTGAAGAGTTACAGGAGTTGGAGCGAGGATTTGATACTGCGGCAACGCGCGTTTTGGCAGGAGATCGTGGTCATGACCAGCAAAGCCCGAGTGAGGGAGAGGAGGAGAGTAGAGTAGAGGAGGAAGGGAAGTGGTCGTGGGCGAGAGCAGGGATGGGGTGGGTGGGCGTGATAGTCTCGCTGGTAGCCTCGCATCTGGCTCGTGAGAAGGAAAAGAAGGAACGCAAACTGGGGATGCAGAAACTGGCAGAGAAAAAGGCCTGGGAAAGCAGCAGGGTGAGCCGCAGCGGCAGCGGTAGTGGTGGTGGAGGCGGCGGTGGGGTTGAGAATGGTGGCGCTTGTGCGAGAGGTGAGGGCCATCCTGAATTTGAGATCTGGAGATTGGATTGTGCAGGAGTCAACCGAGTCAACCATGCTGCGGAAGTCAAGCGAGTCAACGATGCTGGAGCCAATCGTTTCGCCACGATAAATCACACAGGCAGCTTGGCTGATAGCGGGATCTCCCCAGACCATCCTCGTCCGTTCATGACTGCAGCCTCTGGTGTTAATGGCGCCGCTGCCACCAATGGTACTGCTGCTGCCTCTGCCAGACCTGTCATTGCTTCTGCTTCTGCTTCTGCTGCTGCTGCTGCTACTTCTGCTGCTGCTGCTGCTTCTTCTGCTGCTGCTGCTGCTGCTGCTGCTGCTCCCGGTGCTGCTGCTGTGTCTGCCGCTGGGGCCAGTGCAGCGGCTGCTGCAGCAGTGGGCACGTCCCCTAGTTCATTCACGCAAGTGACTCGGCCGCCCATTGGCAGCTGGTGGGAGGCGACCGGGCCTGCCTTTGCTGTGGGCCGCGGGTGGGTTGCCTCGGGATCGGGTCAGGGAGTGGATGCCCTCACGCTCACCATGTCTAAGGAACCCGTGTACCAGGTGTGTGTGTGGGGTTGCTTGTGCGTGCGTGCACACGTGTGTATGTGTGGGTGTGTGTATGGTGGGGTTGGGTGTGTGAGCGCGTGAGCGTGTGCAATGATTCGTGATGGGAGTTGGAGAGGGGTGGAGGGATGGGGAGAGTCAAGTGAGACGGTGAGGAATTTGGGAGTGGAAGATGTGGGAAAGATGGAAGATGCGGAGTGGATGCAAGCCCTTGAACAGTCACTTTCAGAATATGTGGTGCCTGGATGGATCTCAAACGAAATCAGTTTCAGTTTCTAGTTCCAGGCTTTCCCCTCGCACCCCACTTCCCTTTCACCCTCATCCATCCGTGTCTCCTAGCTATTGTGTGGCACATTACCAGATAACCCAACCAGCCCCTCTCGCCTCCCACCTTCCACCACACCTCCCCATTCCCCACAACTCCCCCTCCCTCTTCCGTTTTCTTCCCTCCTACGCTCCCCCCTTCCCCCCTGCTCCCTCCCCTCTACTTCTCCCCTCGAGTCCAATCCCACCCCCTGTCCCTCCTCCCGCCCTGACACAAGGTGGTGGAGGTGAGTGCGAGCGGGGCACTCAGGCAGAGGGAGGTCAGTCGGCGGCAGCTGCTGCGATACAGTGGTGAGCTTTCTCTTAGGCGCCTAGAGAATCGGCACCTACAGCTATGTCTAGGAGAGGAACAAATAACACGAGAGTGTGATGTGAGGTTATTGTGGTGGTAGTGTGTGCAGGCCATGGCTAGCTAGGTGAACTACATACCTAAGGCTTCAGAGTTCTGTCATGTCAGCCAAGTGACTGTCATCCTAACATCACTGCTTCGCCTGCCTTCCTCTCTGCTGCTCCACACCTTCACTCCTTCACTCATCTCCTGTATCTCCTCCTGATTTCGCTCCATCCCATCCTTTCCTCGTGCCCGCACGTCTCCTCTCCCGTGCAGGTCTATCACAGCGTGACATACGCCGCATCGACCCGTCTCTTTGGGTCACCAACGCCTTGCCTGCCCTGCTGGTGACTTTTGAGTCGGCTAAAACGAATATTACCCTCCTGCCCACACGTCTTCCCCCCTGTGCAGGTCTATCGCAGCGTGACATACGCCGCATCGACCCGTCTCTTTGGGTCACCAACGCCCTGCCTGCCCTGCTGGTGAGACATGGGCATGGCGTTTTCGTAAGCCATGTAGGTGAGGTGAAAGGTGAAAATGGGGAAGAGTTTATTATGTTTCCTGTTGTGCTAGCAGCTGCTCTGGTTTGGACAGTTGTGCATTATCCTCAGAGTGACCGCTCTCCCCCCACCCTTTCTTCATCCTCTCTTGTTTAGCTCCGCTCGCCTCGCCTGTTCATTCCTTCCCTCTCTCTTGCATTGCTTCCTCTCTACACACACCCTCTTTTCCTCTTCCACCTTCCCCCACACACACCCACACATCCCATGCAACCCCAATCCCCGCCTCCATCCCACCCGTTCCCCCCCGACCACGAACCCGCATGCAGGTGCGTGAGAGTGCGATTCTGGTGAACCTAGGGTCGCTACGGGCCATAGCTACAGCTGACTCTGTTCTCATCTTCGACCATCACAGGTGCCATGCCACACCCCTCCACACCCATGCCACATGCATGCTGGTGCGCATAGCATTGCAGCACCCCCAAGGCCATAGCTACAGCTGACTGTGTTCTCATCTTCGACCACCACAGGTGCCACCACATGCACCACAATTCACAGCACAGTGTGCATAGCAATGCGCAGCACAGTGCACAGAGCAATGCGCAGCACAGTGCACGTAACAATCCACAGCACAGTGTGCATAGCAATGCGCAGCACAGTGCACATAGCAATGCGCAGCACAGTGCACATAGCAATGCACAGCACAGTGCACGTAACAATGCACAGCACAGTGTGCAGAGCAATGCACAGCACGTGGGCTAGCAGTGCTGCCATGCCAAGGCAACATCCAGGGGTAAAGTGAGGAGGTTCTAGGCAGGGGTAATGCTCAAACATCTGATT